CATCGTGTGATTTTTCTGGGAAAAGTCTTCTTGCTCTACGATGGAAGCTCTTTGGTGCTTACAAAGTCTGTCAGGAGGGTGAACACAGATTGGAGGATGCACATGAAATTTCATTTACAATTCAACTTGTTTTCCTGGCAGTACAAAGTGGGGTTTGGTGGCCGTGTTGTGCCTACAGAACGTCGTGTTGCAGGGCCACGTGCAGTCAGTTTTGCAGCCCCACAAGGCCCTACAGTGCCAAGTGCGTTGGTGGACGAGGATGCTGAAGCTGTCAAACAAAAGGCAGCTGAAGAGAAGAAAGAGGAGGCAGAAACATCTGCCATGGCTGGCCATGACAAGCCGACCCATGTCAGTCGTGATGTGGAATTTGCAGATGAGACGGTTTTCAAGGAGGACATGGCCAAGCATTCAGCACCATCAACTCCAGCACCTGAACTTCCAGCAGTGGCAATGGGCTCAACAGATACTGCAATGCCTGATGATCCAGGTTTGGCAGCACCAGTGACTCCAGTTGATGTTACAAGCATTGGTGGAACTATGAGCCCCAGGCACGAACCAGAGCACACGAGCATGAAACTGAGGAGGAGCTGAATGCAAAGAAAGCACGAGTGGCCGACAGCAAGAAGCAGAGAATCAATGCAATCACTTCTCAAAATGCTCAGATGATCAGAATGGTCAAATTTGGAACTGAAGAATACTACACCATGGACAACTACGACAGTGACTTGAAGCAGGAGGAGTTCCACAACAATGACAGTGATCTCTGGGCAGGTGAGGAAGAAGTTTTGGTTGCAGGCGTTCCAGAAGCGCTTTGGCATGACAGCAGTCTGGATGAGTCACCACCGACTCCAGAACAATGGGTGGAGGACTTAGCTGACAAGGTTGAGATTTCACGACTGCTGGACATGGGTGTTCTCAAGGGCTTTGCAGACTATGATGGTGAGATCAGTGGGCGCCTTACAACACGTTTTGTCAGAGATTGGAGGCAGAAACTTTACATTGGTGAAGGAGATTCCCGAGTGCGTTGGATGAGGAGAAGCAGGTACGTGGCAAGAGAATTTGCCAATGAGAAAAGAGATGATGTTTTTGCCCCGACAACAGGAGCTCACTCGAACAACTTGCTTTTGGCCAGGTTTCTTCAGATGGCTGATGCTGCAAAGGATGGAGGTGTTTCTTACAAACCCTTGCTGGCTTCAATGGACATCGGTGATGCGTTTCTGCAGGTTGACCAAGAGCACCCAGTCAAATGTGAACTACAGGGATGCGAGTATGTCATCCTCAAGAACCTTCCTGGACAAAGACTGGGAGCGCGATCTTGGTACTGGTACTTCAGAAACTACTTAGAGGAAAAGTTTCAGTACGAGTTTTGCGATGTTCAGCCGTGCTTGGGTAGAACAAACAAAGGATTCAGTGATTCTCATCCATGTGGATGACATCCTTTACGCTGGCAGTGCAGAATTCTTTGAGAAACAACTTTTACCAGTTTGCCAAGAACGTTTCTCTGTCAAATGGAGTGCGCTGCAAGAGCATGGCAGCACAATCACTTTCCTGAAGAAAAAGATCTCTCTGGTTACAGATGGCCTTATGGTAGTCCCGGGTACACAAGTTCACAAGGTGGTTGAAGTTTTCGCGAACCATTTTGGTGCAGTGCGTGGACAGCTGATTCCGTGTGATGCCTCGATCCAACTTGAGGACGTATCAGCTGAACTGACTCCAACAGATGCCGCAGTTTTCAGAAGGGTTGTGGGTATGTGCTTGTACTTGAGTCGGGATCGCCCTGACATCATTTTTCCTGTCAAAGAAGTTTCAGGCAAGATGTCACGTCCGACTTTGACAAGCCTTCAACATTTGAGGAAGTTGATTGGCTATCTCAAGAAGATGGGCGACCTGGGAATTTTGCTGCAGTACCCTCAGCCTGGAGTTGGAAAATGGCGCACTTCAACAGAGAAGTACTGGATCTTGGAATCCTACAGTGATGCTGACTGGGCATCAAACAAAGCCCATCGAAAATCCACGAGCTGTGGAGTTCACCTTCTCAATGGGTGCTTCCTATTTGCATCATCGAGAACCCAGAGGGTTATTTCCTTGTCTTCCTGCGAGTCCGAATTGTACAGCATCGTGTCGACCATGAGCGATGCAATATTCATCAGGCGCTGCTTGGAGTTTGTGTTGGGAGTCGAAATCTCTCAGGTTCACTTTACAGATAGCAGCAGTGCACGACAGCTTTGCAATCGGCAGAGGGTGGGAAAGGTGAGACATTTGTCTGGAAAGTTACTTTGGGTTCAAACTCAGGTGCAAAATGGCTCAGTTGAGATGGTCCAGATGCCGACGGCCTACAATGTTGGTGACATATAGGCACCAAAAGCTTGGGCAGGAAAAGACTTTTCGCTTTGATGTCTGAACTTGGGATGGTTTCTGCAGAAAATGGTCAACCAATTGGCCAAGAAGAGCTTGAAGCACTACGTGAAAGCCATAGCAATTCACGTGATGTCACAAAACTGGCAAAGACGATTTTCAGGTTAGCAACAGTTTTGGGCCTTGGGCCAACTGGTTCAGCTGCACAAGGCCAATGTGAGAGCCACAATGTCAATAGCAATGACAATGAAACATTGTGGATTTGGCTTTCAATCTTTTTGCTGGCAGTGGCATGGATTGGTTTTGCGGTGGCTTGTTACAAGCTGTGGTCGAAGATGGACCAAAGGATGCAGCACAATGAGCTTCAGCAAGCAGAACAGATACTTTCACAGGACATCAAAGAGATCTGATAGATCAGCACCGTGCCAACCATCTTGATCTTCGAACGCAGTACAGTAACTTCGTGAGTCAGACAAATCAAGGACTTGCAACGTTGGAGGAGTACATGGACTGCATACATGATGGATTGGTACACCATGGTGGGTTTGTGAGATACAGTGAACTCACCAGACAGCAGAGATCAGACATGTTTGCCCAGGAAAGGTCGAACCAACTCTTGTTTCAAGCACGTCAGGTGGCACCGGACACAACAGATGATGCTGGACTTGGAGCTTACGCAGCAGAAGCGTCAGGCTCAGCAGGACCTGTGATGGCGTTGGAAGACCACCACATGGAGCATGGAGAAGAAGAAGAACCGACTTCAGATGCTGAAATCCTGGAAGATGAGACCAATAGCAGGGAAGGAGATTTAACAAGGATGATTAAGCATCTCAGAGATCAGGTGAATGAAGCTTTGGCTTTCGAGCACTACGAGGATGCCACAGACATCCAAACAACTCTTACAGCTGTGCTCGAGGCAGCCAATTTCAGTCCTAATCTGACTCTGGACATTGCAAGAAGGGTCACTGGAACTTACCAAAGGCTTTACAGACGAGCCAGAAATCGAGGTGACCACGCGTTGTCAGGAGTCTATCAAGCGTTTGCAGAAGATCTACACAGGTTTCTGCAAGCAATGGATCGAATGGTACAGATCACAGATTTTCATCAAGTGAAATTTCATGTGAAGCCAAACTTTTTCAGATGATTGGTCGATGAAAAGAATCGGCCAGTGGTTTGACGTTTGGTTTGGAGGGTGCCGGGCAACCCTATAACCCCGAGGGGTACCAGGTAACCCTTAATCCTGGGGAGTTTGACAAGGCCACAAGGCCATACAACATTGGAGTTAAGCAACACTCTGATGGACTGAAAAGGCGAGCACTCAGGAGATCTAAAGTCTCACCTGAATGAGGAGGAGTGCGAAACAGTTGTGAAAGCACTCATGCCGTTCAGATGATGTCATAGCATGGCAGTTGCAGCAAGGATGACACACACAAATCTCAGTTCAGTCCATTTCATTTTCACCATGCGTACATGGAAAATCCATGTGAATCACAAGGCCTTTAAGGCTCAGAGAAAAGGTGAGCGCTGTGCACCGTTTCCTTCGCAGAAAATGAACATTACACTGATGAAGAAAACTAACAAATATGTCTAATAGTCCATTTATTTTATTGGACTTGTTTTATTCTTATTTCCATCTATCTTGAAACAGTGGTGGGTGTATCAATAAATGTCTTTGGAAATAATTTTTATGTTTTTTATTTGTTTAATTTGTTTCTCCATTTTTTGTCTTTGATGTTTTCCTGCGTCATCTCTGGGTTCTTTGATCGTGTCCCTGATTTTGTTGCATCATGTCTTGGTTGGTGTGGTTTTGTTGTATCATGTCTTGATTCATGGGATGATTTTTGGTAGGTGTCTTCGATTTGTTTGAAGTTGAATTGTTGAATTTTGATACCGTTATGATATGAAATGGGTTTTATTCCCGGAATATATACTCTGGTCAATTTTTTCCCCCCCTGGCCGACCCCGGTTCAATCGGCCCCTGGTCCCCCCAGACCCTTCTTGGATCTTTGTTCATCGTCAGCATCTGCATCACCATCATCAGGTGGTTTTGGGGCAGGAGCAGGTTTCTACGTCTTTATCTTCGCCTTCTTCGTTTTTATTTTTCTTAAGAACATTGTCATCATTATTGTTGTCGTCGTCATCATCATCATATCATTATCAACATTATCGTCAAATTCATCCGCACCCACCATCATCGTCATCAGTTCATCAGTTAACTCTTGCAACTGAACAATCTCCGGTACAACATTAGTAACATCGTGCAGCTTTGGTACCTCCCCCCGGGCCTCAAATTGTTGATTTTTCAAAATTATCATTTATCATCGCCATGCGCGATGTATTTTGTATCACTTGCCATTTATAATTTTGAAATGACGGTTTAGGAATTTGATGATGTTGAGTTTTGGGTTGCATGTGACGAATCTCGGAGTTGATTACATTTCCACATTGCATATGGCGATTTCGGTGCATTGGTGTAGGACATATGTTGGTGGTAGAGAACATCAATGGTTCGAAATGTGTTACAACTTTGACGGTTTAAACATACATGACGCGTGACATCGAATTCTTGCCGTGGAAAGGGGGTCCCAGTACCTAATTATGACCTAATTGACGTTACCGCATTTGTGGCTCCAGCCGCCTTGGTGAAACCGAGTCCCGTGGGGTCCGCACCGTGCTGTGAAGCCGGTGGCGGCAGCGGCTTGGGAGCGCTATGGCCATGGCGGCCGTGGCCAGGGCTCGTTTCCCTCTTCGTCTCTTCCATTCCCGGCTCCATCGGCTCCATTGCCTTCCACTGGTGTCTTGGAAATAAAAAAAAAACACAGAAACTGACACCTTCATTGAAAAACTTCACATGATTTCCAAAACACCAATGAACAAATCAGGCCAAAAGTGGAAGGTAAAAGAAAAACACCAAACATCGACAATATCGACAAAAAAAATAGACAACAAAATTCTCAAACTTTGCAGCTGCAGCAATGGAACAGTCTATGGCGGAAATTTTGTGCATTGTGAATGTGCCAAGCTTGCCAAGGCTGGGGGACATTTTCCAGTGCAGCCCCAAGACAACGTGGAAATTCCTTCATATGACCATGCAAAAACAAGGCCTAACAAGGCAATAAAATGTTTTTGTTTTTTGTTTTTTATTTTTGCGGTGTTTCACTTGTTCCACTTTCATTTAAAACGAAATTTGAATTTAGTTTCCTTAGCATGCACCATTGAACAGAGGCCTGTCTTCAACAAGATCCAAAACCAAGGTGAAGGCAGACATTGCGCAACCACGTTTTTTCAGGCGCAACTGTCACATGTTGTCACATGTTGTCAGTGGGTACGCCGAACTTTGAACGTGTTTGAAAATGCCACCTTCAAGGACATCCCGCTCTTGCTTCGCCGTCCAGCAATTCAAACTGGTTGCTGGTCCGACATTAAAATCATTTTGGATCCTTAAATATTCGTCAATGTCAATAAATATCAATAATTATTTTTTTCCAAATCATTCAAAATCAATTGAGGCTGATATTGGCGAAGGCATTGCAGAGGTCCAGCTGACAGAGTGGTTTGTGAAGGAGGGCGACATGGCCAGAAACCTATCACCTCCAGTCAATTTGCATTGGAAAACAACTTCGAACAAACGACTTTCATATGACTTTCATATGACTTTCATATGACTTTCATATAATTTTCATATGACTTTCATATGACTTTCATGCTAGGTCAAAGAAATGGATAACGTGTGCGCTGTCGAAAGTGACAAGGTCGGCATTTTCATTGTGTTTCATTGTGTCTCATTATGTTTCATGAAATCTCATCGTGTTTCAATGACGTTTCATTCAAACTTCATTGTTTTTCACGCACGTTTCATTCAATTTTCACCATGTTCACTCTTTTACGAAAAATTTGGCATGTTTGCGTCTGAAGTGTTATGAACGTTATGAACGAGAGTGAGATGGGGAGCGATGGAGTGTCTACAATTGTCGTCCTGTCGAGGCTTCAGTAGAGTTGACCAGCCCCTACACAGGGAAAGTGGTGAAGGTTCACCACAAGGCCATGGGAAAACTCACAATCTTGAACACCAGCAATCTTCTGTCGAAGATTTTGAAGGTTCACCCGGAAGCAGAAAGTTGAAAGTCCAAGATGGGAGGGTGAAGTCAGTTTTGATGGCATGACTCATCATGACTCCATGTCTTCCAGAGGAGTGTTTCTGGACAAGAGGGCAAGGTAGGTGACGGCAACCTGCAACCTCTCACTTCGTGAATGACCACGGAACCTAGCCATGCATGTTTGGACAGGTGCAAGACACCGTCAAAGTCGGCTCCGTTCTCATTGATGTGGAGACCGGAGACAGCTCGGCGCCAACATCATCACCACCCAAGCCACAGCCTACACCAGCAGCTGCACCATCAGCACCATCAGCACCTTCAGGGGGAGTCCAGCAATTCAAACTGGTTGCTGGTCCGACATTAAAATCATTTTGGATCCTTAAATATTCGTCAATGTCAATAAATATCAATAATTATTTTTTTCCAAATCATTCAAAATCAATTGAGGCTGATATTGGCGAAGGCATTGCAGAGGTCCAGCTGACAGAGTGGTTTGTGAAGGAGGGCGACATGGCCAGAAACCTATCACCTCCAGCCAATTTGCATTGGAAAACAACTTCGAACAAACGACTTTCATATGACTTTCATATGACTTTCATATGACTTTCATATGACTTTCATATGACTTTCATATGACTTTCATATAATTTTCATATGACTTTCATATGACTTTTATATAATTTTCATATGACTTTCATATGACTTTCATATGACTTTCATGCTAGGTCAAAGAAATGGATAACGTGTGCGCTGTCGAAAGTGACAAGGTCGGCATTTTCATTGTGTTTCATTGTGTCTCATTATGTTTCATGAAATCTCATCGTGTTTCAATGACGTTTCATTCAAACTTCATTGTTTTTCACGCACGTTTCATTCAATTTTCACCATGTTCACTCTTTTACGAAGAATTTGGCATGTTTGCGTCTGAAGTGTTATGAACGTTATGAACGAGAGTGAGATGGGGAGCGATGGAGTGTCTACAATTGTCGTCCTGTCGAGGCTTCAGTAGAGTTGACCAGCCCCTACACAGGGAAAGTGGTGAAGGTTCACCACAAGGCCATGGGAAAACTCACAATCTTGAACACCAGCAATCTTCTGTCGAAGATTTTGAAGGTTCACCCGGAAGCAGAAAGTTGAAAGTCCAAGATGGGAGGGTGAAGTCAGTTTTGATGGCATGACTCATCATGACTCCATGTCTTCCAGAGGAGTGTTTCTGGACAAGAGGGCAAGGTAGGTGACGGCAACCTGCAACCTCTCACTTCGTGAATGACCACGGAACCTAGCCATGCATGTTTGGACAGGTGCAAGACACCGTCAAAGTCGGCTCCGTTCTCATTGATGTGCAGACCGGAGACAGCTCGGCGCCAACATCATCACCACCCAAGCCACAGCCTACACAAGCAGCTGCACCATCAGCACCATCAGCACCTTCAGGGGGAGTCCAGCAATTCAAACTGGTTGCTGGTCCGACATATTTAAAATCATTTTGGGTCCTTCAATATTCGTCAATGTCCTTAATAATTATTTTTTTACAAATCATTCAAAATCAATTGAGGCTGATATTGGCGAAGGCATTGCAGAGGTCCAGCTGACAGAGTGGTTTGTGAAGGAGGGCGACATGGCCAGAAACCTATCACCTCCAGCCAATTTGCATTGGAAAACAACTTCGAACAAACGACTTTCATATGACTTTCATATGACTTTCATATGACTTTCATATGACTTTCATGCTAGGTCAAAGAAATGGATAACGTGTGCGCTGTCGAAAGTGACAAGGTCGGCATTTTCATTGTGTTTCATTGTGTCTCATTATGTTTCATGAAATCTCATCGTGTTTCAATGACGTTTCATTCAAACTTCATTGTTTTTCACGCACGTTTCATTCAATTTTCACCATGTTCACTCTTTTACGAAGAATTTGGCATGTTTGCGTCTGAAGTGTTATGAACGTTATGAACGAGAGTGAGATGGGGAGCGATGGAGTGTCTACAATTGTCGTCCTGCAGAGGCTTCAGTAGAGTTGACCAGCCCCTACACAGGGAAAGTGGTGAAGGTTCACCACAAGGCCATGGGAAAGCTCACAATCTTGAACACCAGCAATCTTCTGTCGAAGATTTTGAAGGTTCACCCGGAAGCAGAAAGTTGAAAGTCCAAGATGGGAGGGTGAAGTCAGTTTTGATGGCATGACTCATCATGACTCCATGTCTTCCAGAGGAGTGTTTCTGGACAAGAGGGCAAGGTAGGTGACGGCAACCTGCAACCTCTCACTTCGTGAATGACCACGGAACCTAGCCATGCATGTTTGGACAGGTGCAAGACACCGTCAAAGTCGGCTCCGTTCTCATTGATGTGGAGACCGGAGACAGCTCGGCGCCAACATCATCACCACCCAAGCCACAGCCTACACCAGCAGCTGCACCATCAGCACCATCAGCACCTTCAGCACCATCAGCTGCATCAGCACCAGCCAAGGTCCTGCAACCAATGCGCGTTACATCGGTGTTGAATTGATGAATTTATTGAAAACGGCACTAGGAAGAAACGGTGCTACATTGGTAAATATTACAATGTTACATTGTTATATGATTCAATGTGATGTTATATGTTTGTTTTTCCTTATGTTTCGATATCTTTCGATATTCGATGTTTGTCGATGTCAGGCTGCAGCTGGGTCCAAGGCAGAGCCCGATGCCGTTGTTAGCACCGTTGACGTCACGTGTGATATGTAAAACCTGTGAAAAAACAGTTATCATTTCTTTTTCGCTTGGAGAAAAAGGTGTAAACAAATGTATTGTTTACACGTTGTAAAGAATTTACAAATTATGCATAAAGTATATTAATTGGATATATGATATATTTAGATTTTGGTTTGACTATTTTTGCAGACATTATCTAACATCGTAACATTATGCTACATCTAACATATTGTTAGTTCTTTTTTTTGCCATGTCACATATTGTATGAAATGAGATTAGTTTTTTTTTGAATATATGAATCATACATGCATTTCATATATGATAACATTTTCAAACATGAAAGGCATGACTTTAACTTTGACTTTCCATCCAAACTCCAACCATTTTTTCGAAAGCATAGCATCATAGCCTGTTTTGTATGATATCTTTATTACGCTCTGGATTTGGAAGTGTCTTGAAGGAATTTTCATAGGGCACTTGTGACCCCAACACGACAAAACGAAAACCGAATGGGGAAACTCGTCTGTTTTCGTTGTGCGGCCCCGGGCTGCGTACTAGCCGATCACTAGCCGATCACTAGCCGTCATCTGGAAATGGTACTCGTATCAAACCTCTTTAGCACATGGCAATCCATGAAATGCTTATGATGTCAACTATCATTGCATCGCTTGTGTTTCTGAGAAAACTCTTCACTTTCCTCACAAGATAGGCCACGCATGAGTCACCATCAGCATAGCTAGAACGTAAGCTGCGGGAGTGTGTAGGTAGGGTCTACTTTTCTTTGCACACTGTTGTAAGACAGCTGCTGTTCAATCTGTGAAGTTCAAAGCGTAACATCAAAAACGTCACGCTGTCAAAAATTATGCACGTTCAATAGAGCTCTGCATACCCGTCGCAAGCTTGGCAAAATTCAAGGTGAGCGTAGCGCCAGCATCGCCAGCATCGCCAGTGCAAGGAAGAACTTCCCGCAAGTGTGCGACGAACTTGATGGAAAGGGTCGAATCAGGAGAATCAGGTTTCAACGACAAACCGTGACAGTAGCTTCCCTGGCCCGAAAACGTTGTTACACTCTTTACAATTGGCCGGACACTAGAGAACAGGCTGGATTTCCAATCCCCTTTCCCCAAGGGACACTAGAACTGTAAATCCGGAAATTGGTGTGATTTTCTTACAATTTGACCAATCGACTCACGCGCGTGCGTTAGGCTTCGCGTCTTTTTCCCTGTGAATTTACCAAATTTCCAGATCAAGCAAACCAGAGAAGATGGTTCCAATTGACTTCTACGAGATTAAGTCATGCCCAGTGAAAAGCTTCGTTTGCCTTAAGCAGAGCAGATGCAAGGTTTCAAGATGTTTCAACTGTCACCTTCAGTCTGTGATTCGCTGTGACTTTGAAATATTTCGAAATTCTGAATGACTCGACTTGTTTGGCTTAAGACTTTTAATTTAAGACTTTCGCTGTGAGCGAATTCTTCGCACAGGCACCTGGTGTCCTAGCAACACCCAAGGTGCAGTTTGATTCATCTTGAAAAAACATCTCAAAAACGTGTTTGGACACTTGAAACATTTTGAGACATGTGGAAGCTGGCAACTCGTTGATGCTTGCATATTTGAATATTTGAATACTGGATATTTCCAGCGTGACTGTGTCCACTAGCATTATTCCAAAGACAGGTGTGTACAGCTCCCGCAGACTGTAAATTCACAATGATTTTCGACATTTTTCGACTCTGAAAGGTGACTTTTCGTAGAAAGGTGACTGATCAGAGCCAAGTGAGCCAAGATGGGGATTCTCCAGATGATTTGGCAGATACACCAGACATCACCAGACATTTTTCAGATACGAAACTTGGAAACCAAATCATCTGTCTGATGTCTATCGATGTCTGACGTCTGATGTTCCGACTTTGTTTTCGCATCTTTCGACGTTTCGACGTAAATTTGTTTCCGCACTCCTTTCCGTGCAGGTCCGTGGCTTGGCGAAGCAGATGGGTATTGATCTCAACACGGTGAAGGGAACAGGTGCCGCTGGTGCCGCACCCCCGGTGCCCCTCCCGGTATGGGTACCGGCGCGCCCCGATCCCTCGATATCCCTTGATCCCATCGTGCAACACATCGTGCAACTGATGTCGCAAGCAGAGTGCAAGCAGAGTGCAAGCAGAGTGTAGCCGGGAAGTGAAATGAAGTGAATGAAGTGAATGAAGTGAATGAAGTGAACAGGAAGAGGGTGGACTGGGCAGCAATTTGGTGGTCCAGGAGTCGAGGAGTCTAACTGAGTCTAACTGAGTCTAACTGAGTCTTACAATATTAATTGGTGTGATCTTTCTAAACAGCTAAAGCATGACTGCTACAGGGAAGAAACAGCCGTCTTACAACAATCCAAGGAGATAAAGAGTTGCGAAATGTCAGGGAGGATGTAGTTTTAATAAGAGGAGGGTTATTTATTTTGTTTTTTTTTCATTTGTTTTTGGATGTTTTTGGGTTTTTTTCTTGGATTTCTGGTTCCTAGATTTGCTCTGCTTCTCGGCTTCTCTGCTTGTTTGCTTCTTTGTTTTCCTGCTTTGCTGCTTCTTTGCTTTTCTGCTTTTCTGCTTCTTTGCTTCTTTGCTTCTCTGCCTTTCCGCTTTTTGCTTCTCTGCTTGTGCTTTTCTGCTTTTCCCTGCTTCTCTGCCTTTCCACTTTTCTGCTGGGTTTCTCCGCTTTTCCACTTTTCTGCTTTTGCTTTTTCTGCTTTTTGCTTTTTCTTTGCTTCTCCGCTTGTCCGCTTGTCTGCTTTTGTTTCTCTGCTTTTCTGCTCTCTGCCTTTCTGCTTCTCTGGGTCTTTCTGCTTTTCGTCGGTGTTTTTTCAACACCACCACCTGCCGCCGCCCCCACCACCACCACCACCACCTCCGCCGCCGCCGCCGCCAGCGCCAGCGCCAGCGCCAACAACACCACCACAACACCACAACACCACAACACCACCACAACACCGTCAACCACCACAACACCGCCACCCACCACAACACCGCCACCCACCACAACACCGCCACCCACCACAACACCACCACAACACCAAAACAACACCACGACAACACCACAACAACAACAGCAACAGCAACAGCAACAGCAACAACAACAACCACCACAACCACCACAACAACCACAACAACCACAACAACCACAACAACCACAACAACCACAACAACCACAACAACCACAACAACCACAACAACCACAACAACACAACAACCACAACAACCACACAACCACAACAACCACAACCACCACAACCACCACAACCACCACAACCACCACAACCACCACAACCACCACAACGACGACAACAACAACAACAACAACGACGACAAACAATGACAATGACAACGACAACGACAAACATACCAACATACCAGCATACCAAAAAACCAAAACCAGCACCAAGACCAACACCATCAGCAAGGGAAGCAACAGCAACAGCAAAGAGAACAACTACTAGGCCACAAGCGGAAGTCGAGCTCCATCACGCTGCAAAATGTTCCAAATTCCATGGAAAATGAGATTTGGACTCAAAAACTGCAGAAACGTTGAGATGACAGCTTCCAGCGTCAAAGAGCTGCAAATTCCATGAACATGTTGCGAATTCTATGGAGCGGACATGGCAGCTTCCAGGTTCAAAATGCTGCAAATAGCAAGGAAAATGTACAGAACAGGAAATCCAAGAAAAATCCCAAAATGGAAAAATAAAGATTCCCAAAACAATTCCAGACCCCTAAAGCAACGGTGTACTTATCATGCGTGGGCATAGAGAATGGCAATGTAGGCACATAGACAGAGATGGAGTAATTTTCAAGTGTCAAGATCCATCTCAGGGATTTTTATGCATTAATTGCTACTACTAGTGTCCTTATTGTCCTTACAAGCCCTTACAACTGCTATTCTTATTACAATAAAGATACTATATCAAGTATTATCAAGTTATCTCATTGTATGTTTCCTCAAGTCTTTTCATGTGTTTTATAATTTTCATAATGTGTTTCACGAAAGCCAGCCTGACGGGCTGGATCGTTGGTTTTTGCGGCACGGGCACTTTTCAACAGAATTTGGTGCCGTGGCATGGCAGAGGTGTTTTGGGGCATGGAGTGGGTACCAATGAAGTACCAATTAAGAACCACTAGGCAAACAGGTGACGCTAAGTCTCGATTTCCCCCTGGTCCGCACACAGCACCAACGGGAAGAATCCATAGGACAGTGCTCCAGATTACAGGACGGACCGATGTGACACGTACAGAGACAACAGAAGAGGCCCAGTCAAATATGCGGAAAAGGCATCTGACACTAGAGAGTCGAGGTTGAGTTTTGCAGGATCTTATGAAGGCTCGTTGGTATGTAGATGCACTGCACGACATAAATGTTATGTAACAAAATCCACTAGCAGGAAGGATCTAAAGGACATCGCTACAGATGACAGGGGTCCTAATGAAAGATCTGGAAAAGGTATCTGACACATTCTGACACTAGACAGTATGTCAGGTTATATGTATGTTATATGTCAGGTATGTCTTTTGTGTGTTTTGTGTGTTTTGTGTGTTTTATGTGAGCTTCGGGGCGGGTTCGTCCCGTCAGGTGCCCATGGTCGTGTGCTCGCCGAGGCGAGTGAACTCGAGTTTGGTTTGAAATCCGATTTTGAGCGTTGCAACATGTTGCAACATGTTGCAACATCGGGTTGCAATGATCCGCAATTCGCAATCATTTGCATCATTTTAGGCATCATTTGCATCATTTTAGGCATCATTTTGCATCATTTTGCCTTTTTCATGTGGCCTCGGTCGAAATCCATATTTTCCCATGTTGCGCCATATCGCGCCCACCAGTGTTGTGATTGTACTGCCTCACACCATCTCGAAAGTATCTCCGTTTTTGACAGATTCGGTTTGTACTTGCAAAATCTTGCAGCACTATGCAACACTATGCAACACTTGCATCTGGATCTTGCTAGATTTTGCCGGATGCCGGATCTTGCCGGATGATCTTGAGATATCTTGAGCAGTTTATGCAGTTTTTTTTGCCTGGAGGACTTGAAAGGGGCCGGAGCCGCGGCTGCCGCTGCTGCGGCTCCAGCCCCTGCCGCAGCGGCGCCAAGCTTCACTCCGCCTCCACGAGTTTTGGAGGATTTTGAAACTGATGGAAATCATATTGTTTCATCGATTTTGTGTCAAAATCTGATGGAAATCTGATGGAAATCGATGCTAGTGGTTGGACATCGAACGTGCACGGCATCGATTCTGGCCATATTGTTTGTTCAACTTAGCATTTGCCGTGATGCGGGCAAGGGAAGAGATGCTAAAGCTCCAATGCAATCTTTGGCAGAGGTTTCACAGTTGGTTGCATTCAGGGAAAAGGAACAATTTGGGTCGAGATTGCTTGTTTATGAGTTTTTCAAATACATTTTCTTTTAAAGATCTGAATTTCATGTTCATTTTACATCATTTTACATGAATCTTTGTCTTTCTTTTAGTTTCTGGTCTCGCGAGTCTCTCGAGTCTCGCGAGTCTCTCGAGTCTGTCAGGACCAGACCATTCAGATCACGGACAATGTCGGAAAGGGCATGGCCAGAGCCCCGCCTGACACATCGCACAGCCCGATGGGGCCCGATGTACCGCAGTTCTCTCGACTTTTCTTGTTGTATTCAACGAATTCATCGAAGTATTCAGTGAAGTACATCGTATTTTGTCAGTAATTCTCTACATCAAAGATACACCGATACGCCAAGCATATGCCAAGCATATGCCAAGCATATGCCAAGCATATGCCAAGCAATTCTCAGGTCAAGTCAATGCAGGCCTCCCTGGTGGTTCCTTACATGGCCTTGGGAGAGGACTGAGAAATTTTTCGGACTGTGGACAGCTGTGCATGTGACTGGCATGTGACATGTGAATCCACGTGACTGACATGAATTGTGACATGTGAATCCATGTGAATCCATGTGAATCTGACATGGAAATACATGGAATCTATGTGAATCTATGTGAATCCACGTCAGATTCACAGCTCAGGCCCTCCCGTCCTAGAGCCCATTAGAGCCCTGCCCTTGAGTATCCTGTGTTGTCTTCCTGTCCGGAGGTCATATTTCTCAGTTCTTTGAGTTCTTTGTGCGTTTTCTCTTGGGATCAAAGGTCTTGCAACGATCAGAAATAACTGAAATATACTGAAATAACGTTCAGTTTGATCCTTCTCTTATATCTGATATTATCTGATTATATCTGATTACATCTCTTATTTTTACACAGTTTGCTTTGCTCCCTTTGTTGCTTTTGCCTTGCTTCTACCTTGCTTTGCGTCGCTTTTGCCTTGTTTTTGCCTTGCCTTTGCATTGATTTGCGTTTGCCTTGCGTTGCCTTGGTTTTGCCTTGTGGTGCATTGCTTGGCCTTGCTTCGCCCTTGCTTTGCCTTTTCCAAGTCTACCTACAACAGTTGGATTTAAACGCAATAGTTTGGGCCGGTCTCGTAGTGACTCCTGAAGTGCTGATGAACGGATTAATTGAAATTTGAAACTTCAAGAAACTGCCAGGAGATCGACATGACTGAGATCTTGGCGCTGCAAAAGCAGCTCAAGGTGCAAAGTTTCACATTTCATACTGCGCACATACAATAGCATGAATAGCATGAATAGCATGATCATATACTTTGCATTATTTTGCATATTTGTAGGCAGAGAGTTTGCACATGTTTCGTCCGATTTGGTCAGTCGAGCATTTTTTTAGTCGACTTTTCGTGGAATTGGTCGAATGAGTCGAATGAGGAACATGCTCTGAAGAAGTACGGCAGCAAAATCACTGTGACGTCCTTCATGCTGAAGGACAGCGGAATTGCCACCTTTGCCACCTCTGCATCCATTTGGAAACCTTTTGAAAGGGCGCCGGCTGCACCTGTTTCGTTTGTTTTCAGGCGATAAGTTTGGCGTTGTATGACAATCCCAAAGTCAACAGCAAATTTGGGACCAGACCTTAGCGGCTTTAGCGTGGCAAATGGGGAACGGATGGGACGAGTGGTGTGCAGTGCTCACCAAAGAACTGCTACAAGCAGTAGAACACTAGTTGCATGTTTACGAGACAAGAGGTGTTGCATACTGTTTGTGCATGTTTGTACTGTGTTTTCTGAAGTCTTGCATATGCCAACCTGTACAAACCTGTACAAACCTGTTTAATCACTCAAGTGTGTTTTGGCCGCATCTCCAGAGTTTGACACAAGTCGGTCGATCCTTCAAGTGACGAAGTCCGGTACCTTCCCAAAGAAACATCTATTTTTCAAATTCGTTCAAACCACAGAGGCGACGTGCATCCTGATATGAGGTCACCGGACGCGAACCCTCCAAACTACACGGTCTATGGCAGCCACAACATCTCAGTGGGGCAGCCATGGGGACGTTTTGGGCACATCGTGGCACGCAGCACATCGCGGCACATCGCGGCATGTTGCACTCAGGTTGCAGTAGATACTCCTGGAGGTCTCATGGTACCCAACATCAAGGCGTTTGATGTGGGTATCGGGTACTTTCCTGTATGCCGTATGCAGCTCCAGCAGCATGTGAGCTCATGTGGAGTCCTGTTCTTTCAACGAAACTCAAATACTCAGAAAACTCAAACTCAGATTCCCAAAGACAATTGGAGAGGCAGCTCCCAACTTTTCAGCTGCGAGCCTGATGCGCGAGATTCCTCCTCTTGTGTCATTTGAACATACTTTAAACATACTCAATACATCCCAATATATCGCAATAATTCGCAATATATATATATATAATATATCTATCTCAATACCCAGTTTCATGAGTTTCCTTTTCCGCGCTCTTGTCACTGTAATACTGTAAGCTCTCTTGTTTTTTCGATAAGTTTTATGAAGCTATCCCTTCCAGCCTCGTTCAGTAGCAATTTATTGGTCGTGATTTGTTAATTTCATGCTTTCAATTTATTTCAATTTGCATATTTGTTCATATATTTGTTCATATATGTGCACATTTTGCAAATGTTTCGGAGGACGTCGGCGGCAAAAACGTGTTGGAGATCCAGCAGGAGCTGATGCGCCTGGCGGCCGCGGCTCAGCAGGGCAAGTTGGCCCTGCCGGACATCCAGGACAGCCACACAGCCCGGTGCCGGAGATGTTGAGATGCTGAAATTTTCAGATGCCAAAGTGAAAATATCATTTTAATACATTCAATTCATTTATTATTTGAATTTATTTGATTTTATTTGATATATTAATGTTTACTTTGGAGCATTTAACTAATGCAAACGTTAAAATTGAGCCTTTAACAAGTCCATAGTTTCAGTGTTTCTCCACTTACGGTGTCATTTTTTAGGGTACCAAACCTACCAAACCTACCAAACCTGTGCCTGGCGCCTGGCTGATGGGAAATCAGTGACCGAATCATTGGGAATCAAATCACGCTTCCAAATGGAGCAAAGGACCCAGATAATCAAGGCAAAGTCAAGATAATGTCTGGGTCACACAAGGTCAGTTCAAGGTCACACACAACTGACCCAGATTCGGCTTCTGCAGAAACTTTTCTGACTGGGTTTCAGACTATCTTTTGAACTCCTTTTGAACTCCTTTAAGGTCTTTAAGGTCTTGTCATTTTGTCTCAAAGCATTTAGTTTGCATATGTATCAGTAGGTCACTCATGTAGAGGAATGCTTGCTCAATTGTTCTGGGCTGTTTTTGAACACTGTTTTGTGCATTCCGTGATTGTCAGGGAGGAACCATCACACTTTCGAACATTGGAGTCATTGGCACCAAGGACAGGAGTTTCTCGCAGCTTCTCCTGAGGAATCCAACTTTCAGCTTTCAACAAAGTGCCCATCATGTGGAGATCATGTGCTACAGAAACTCTCCAAAGAATGCACGTTGGAAAAACTCACAGGAAATCACATCTCCACACCATGTGCACATCATGTGCACATCATGTGCTCACAGGATCCCCGTCCTATTCTCTTTGATGGACAAGCCGTCATCGGTGCCACTGGAAGAACAATGACACTGCCCAGATACAATGCCAAAATGGAGGCTGACTCTGCCCTCTGGCTGACTGCATGAATCTACGTTGAATCTACATGACTGCCATGGTGAAGGCAGTGAGTAATCAATGCATCCCCTTAGCAGCCCCCCTATGATCCCCTTATGCGTGACTCCGCTCGTGTGACATCGGCTGTGTGTTCCACCACATGTCCCAACTCTAGCACTTGAAAATCTTCAAGCATTTGCAACACATTTTGCACATTTTTGCAACAGCTAATTGGCAACAGTTCATTTGCAACAGCTTGCCATGCGTTTGCTCCTCATTTGCGCCAGTTGGTTCCCCGGCAAGTGATGAACATCCGCTGGGTCGCAGCCTTAGCTACAGCTGCTACAGCTACGAGGGCTTTTATCGAGGTACAGGATAAGAGCAAACAAAAATGCAAAAGTAGCAAAGAGTTTGCAATGCGTTTGCAATGCGTTTGCAAAGAGACTCGGAAATGTCGGCAATTGCACTGAACTTGAATCATTTTTGAATCATTTTAAATATATTTAAATCATTTCTATAAGAATTCTATAAGTCATTTGAATAAGTCCTTTAGATTTTGTTTATAAATCATTTGTTTGAATTTTGTTTGAATTTCTTTTGTTTGTCGTTTAGGTTGGAGATCATCGTCACCTGGATGGTGCTGCTCTGGCACGTTTCTCCAATTCCTTCAAGAGCTACATGGAGGCGGGCGGATGCGGGCGATGCATGGCGCTTACTTACCTTACTTCGAAGTCAGAGATACTCAGTTTCAGAAATTCAAAGATTTTAGATGATTTTAGAATAGGAGTTTGAATCCATGAATCCATTTGTGAATCCATTTGAAACTCTTTACTCTTTACATCTCAAAGAACCTCTTGAAGCACTGTCACCCAAGATCAAGCCGGTCAAGCCGATCTAAGTTCCATCGAGATTTCCGGCTGCGTGTCAGCTGAAAATTCAAGATGCAAAAGATCAACTTTTGTCCTTTAAATTTTGAAAGATGCTAGGACTGCTATGGACTGCTATGGACTGCTAGGATCAAGTGTTGAAAGGACGTAAAGGTAAATCATGGTAAATCAATGCACCAGTGCACAACAGACACTGCAATCAATCAAAACGACGAGGCGCTGCACTCTGTTAGCAATTAGCAGGATCAAAATACAAGCGAATACTCAGCGGTAAACAGCATGTAACAATGCAAGTAACACATAGTAACACTGCATGTAACGAATTGTAACGATGTAGTTCAAGAATAGTACCCGGCAGTCGAAGGGACAATGCAATTGACTGGAGAAGAATCTATTTAGATTTCACGCAAATCCTATGTCAACAAAGTATTAAAAAAGATGTAATTATAGTAGAAGCCTGTACAAAAGGTACAATGTAAAAAATATAGAATGTGATGCATTGACATGACATTTAAAACCGCTATTTAATGCTGCCATATGATCTAATTTCTTGGGACAGAAGAGGTTGCACCGGAACAGGGATTGACACAGTGGCATGGTTTCTACTGACACAATGTCACAGAGAATAACTTGCAGGTGTGCATATGCAGCCATATTACGTAGATACAAAAGTATACAAGGTTAAGAAAGTTACTAGGTACATCTCATTTGTTCAGACGAAGCTTCTTTACCCCCTGAGATATTGATCTTCGACCGTTTTTCCCTGTTTTTCGCATCGTGGACCACAGTGGGCCACAGAGCACAACTCCGCAATGCTCCGCACGCAGAACCCGGGAGAGTGGCTTCTGGCGATGAGATGAAGAGTGCGGAAGAGTTCGGAAGAGTTCTGAGTTCCGAGACACATTGATAATCATCAATACTAAACACATTAAAGGCAAAGAAAGGCTGAGAAAACATGGATATGAAACGATATGAAACGATACGAAGTCACGACATACCAACTTGACCTCTCAGACATTCGCAGATGGTCCACAAAAAATGCAAGATCGATCGGAATTGTCATATTTATCCTTCAGTTTACTTATCAAGCTGATCAGGTCCGATATGTCACGACAAAACGATACAAAACGCAGATGAGTTCGTTATGAGTTCGTTTGTTTGGACGCCGTTTCGACTCCGGTTTCGGCGTCAGAGACGCTTGTTGCATTTCGAGAGTCCTTGCTTCATCGCCCTGAAGGGCGAAAGCCAATTGCTTAACATCCACTAACATCCATTGCTTTACGAGCAGCATATGACATATATGAGCGACAAGAAAGTGCACAAAAAGTGAGTTGTGACACAGATGCGACAGCATAGTGACATATAGTGACTCCGTGACTCTACACTTGTGATAAGTTGAGATTGTGCCCTGAGGGCTTGTGAGACTAATTCATGCTGTTCCATGCTGTTCCATGCTGTTCCTGTTTTGCTTTTTTGTTTTTTGCTTTTCGGTGCAAAGTTTTATGATGCATCGGCTGATCCTGAGGTCCAGTTACTCGTCCTACTATGTCCTACTCATTCAAATTCGTAGAAATGTCCTACAACTCATATTGAAATTCAATTCGTTCAGTTCCTTAGTTCGCCTTAGTTCGCCTTAGTTGTCCTACTAGTTGTCCTACGCTCATCGCCGCACGGGGCTCAGAGCTGGCGACCTGACGACAGGTCCAAAGTTGTGGCCGTTTTTTCGGCCAGGCCTGGTACCGTAGGACGGTACCGTGGCAGCGTCACCGTGGTGCGAGCCTCGGTGCTACCGGTGCTACCCGTGGTGGTACGATGGCAACATTTTCACCATTTTGACCATTTGTATCACATTTTTGACCATTTGTATTCACTTGTATCACTTGTATTCACTTGTGACCATTGACTGCTTTGACCAATGCTTGGCATCCTGGCATCTAATGCTTGGCATCCAATGCTTGGCATCCAATGCTTTCACTGTCACTTTAGACATTTTGGAGGCGCCATGGGGAAAGACCTGAATCAAATCGAGGAGGAGCAGTTTCGTCTTGGGCAACTTGGGCAATGGCAGGGCTAAAAAATCGTTGATAGTCACATGCCGTGGCAATTGTCACAGCAAGTAGGCTGCACTACAAGCTCCACTTGACAGATACATTGTACACTGTATGCGATGCAACAATGTTACATTGACATTATGTAGCATGTGCAGTATATTAATAGCACACTTTGTCATACTTTTGTAACATATCTTCTATATATCATATCTTCTATGCATATTAGAATATATTGAATATTTGTTAAATTTATTAAATCATATTCTATGCATTTCTCTGCGTACTTTTGAAATCTGAACAGACCGGAAGAGCCCAAAACGCTGAAGGCTATCCTGGCGAAGATTCAGGAGCGAGCGCACAGCAGAACCACCGAGGACCCGCAAGCGAGAGGTTCTCGTGGCCTTTTTTTTTGGCTCAGATTCTTCACAGAAAAAGTTTCAAGACTTTGTTTCAAAGTTTACTTGGGGAATTGGGAATTCGTACTCTCTGGGGCCCGGTGGCCAAAGAAGAAAAGCCTACTTCAAGCTTACTTCGAAATTACTTCAAGACTACTTCAAGATTACTTAAAAATTACTTCAATATTACTTCAAGCTTACTTCAAGATTACTTCAAACTTACTTGAAGCTTACTTGAAGCTTACTTCAAGATTACTTCAAGCTTACTTCAAGACTACTTCAAGACTACTTCAAGCTTACTTCAAGCTTACCGCAAGCTTACTTTAAGCTTACTTCAAGCTTACTTCAAGACTACTTCAATACTACTTCAAGACTACTTCAAGACTACTGCAAGACTACTGCAAGACTACTTCAAGACTACTTCGAGACTACTTCAAGATTTCAATCTTACTTCAAGCTTACTTCACGCTTATTTCAAGGTTACTGCAAGCTTACTTCAAGCTTAACTCAAGCTTACTTCAAGATTACTTTAATATTGCTTCAAAACTGCTTCAAGACTACTTGAAGACTACTTCAGGACTACGGCAAGACTACTTTAAGATTACTTCAAGCTTTCTTCAAGCTTACTTCAAGCTTACTTAAAGATTACTTCAAGATTACTTCAGTATTGCTTCAAGATTACTTCAAGACTACTTCAGGGCTACTGCAAGACCACTTCAAACTTACTGCAAGCTTACTTTACGCTTACTTCAAGCTTACTTCAAGCTTACTTCAAGATTACTGCAAGATTCCTTCAAGCTTACTTCGAGATTAAGTCAAGACTTCTTCAGGACTACTTCAAGATTACTCCAAGCTTACTTCACGCTTACTTCAAGATCGCTTCAAGACTGCTTCAAAACTACTTAAGACTACTTCAGGACTACTGCAAGACTACTTCAGGGCTACTGCAAGACTACATCAAACGTACTTCAAGCTTATATACTTTAATTCACTTCAAGCTGACTTCAAAATTACTTCACGATTACTTCAAGCTTACTTCAAGATTCTGTAAGATTACTTTAATATTGCTTCAATATTGCTTCAATTTTACTTCAAGCTTACTTCAACATTACTTCAACATTACTTCAATATTGCTTCAAGATTACTTCAAGACTACTTCAGGACTACTTTAATACCACTTCAAATTTAATACCACTTCAAACTTACTTGAAGCTTACTTTAAGCTTTCTTTAAGATTACTTCAATATTGCTTCAAGATTACTTCAAAACTACTTCAGGACTACTGCAAGACCACTTCAAACTTACTTTAAGCTTACATCAAGCTTACTTCAAAACTGCCTCAAGACAACGTCAAGATTACTTCAAGATTGCTTCAATATTGCTTCAAAATTACTTCAAGAGCTCCCAAGTAACCAGTAGTAATTTGAAGTATCACTGAAGTGACGACCCAAACTCCCAACTTGACAAACGAAACAAACAAATTCCCAAGTTGTCGGTGCTCGGCACACACGAGGAGACCTTCTTGGTCAAGGCTTTGAGGCTTGGAGCAACGGAGGAGCAGAACACTTTGTGAAGAGTAGAAGTGTTTGCGAGTAGGTTTGCAAGTAGGTTTTAGGTTTGTAGATCTGACATAACTCAAACTGACTTAAGTGACACAGATTTTACTTAAAGTACAAACTCTGGTTTTGCTTCCAAGCTAATCTCCGCCTCTTGACAATTTGATACATCTTGAAACATCTTGAAACATTTGTTATATATTTCTTCTTTAATTTGATAGGATTCCATTACACTTGAAAGGTACCAAGACCTCTCAAGCTGCGGCTGGCTGGATTTTCCAAAGTTCAGCCGTGCTCTGCTTCCGTACACTTCTGGGGTGAGTGAGAAGGACATCGCGATGACATGAGATGACACGAGATGACACGAGATGACAGCTGCTTGAATCAGAAACGAATGCTGAAAGGAAATGCAGAAAGTTTTGAACGCAGGGGATACTCACGGGAGCGTGATATAGAGGAGACACATGACAAAGATTGATAAAGTGTAACAAACGTGATAGACTGATAGACATGAAACATGTAATTTATGCATTGATTTATCGGAGGCGGCGGTCACATATGAACCTACTCATACCTTAAGCTTTTGCATTTTTATACCTGATTTGGTCTGATTTGCACATGTGCATTTACAACTTTTTCTATAAGTTGTATAGATTTTTGACCAAATAAAAACTGGATATTTGAGGTCAACCTGGAACTTGGAAACTTGGCCAGGATGTTGAAGCCATCTTCGAACGCTATGCTGACCAGGACGAGATCTGCTCTGTGTTCATGAACAAATCGGACAATCGCCTCCTTTTCCCCTACGTCTCTCCCTTTTTTCATGTTTTCCACCCTTTTCAAAACCTTTTTCTGACCTTTGAAAAAAGCCTTTTCTCCCCATTTCTCAAATTTCTTCAAATTTCTTCCGATTTTTTTCCATCTGTTTTTCAAACGTGTTTCCCTTGCTCTGTCTGCCTATCCAGTCATAAAGACGGTTCTCCACGGGTGAACCTCGAGTTTTGGACACCGTGATATGTGAGGCACATGCAATATCCAACGAGGCATATTTTGCTAGTCTAGGTTCCTTCGGTTTATCTAGGTTTATCTAGGTATATCTAGGTATAGTTCATGTAGAAAGATTTAAAAGGTGCCTGCACGCACTGTGCAGGGCTCTCTGCCAATTCGGCCGTTTGCCAGTGACTTTGTCAGCGGCGTTCGGCGAGAAGAACAGGCGAGATGGGGTCGTGATCACCGAAGAGAACCAGAAACCCAACAAAAGCATGATGGAATTCATTATCAGTAACTATCATTGATTCAGACATGATGCAGCACTGATTCAGTAACTATCATCGTAAAGTGAGACGAAAATGTGAAGGCAGGATTCTTTGGTCATCTTTGGCGGCATCAATTTGCTTTTGTTGGATTCATGTGTCGTAGAGTTGCAGAATGTTGTAGAATTAAGAGTTGTAGATGTGTTACATTATGTTTTCAGTGATTCACTACAACTCTACATAATTCTACAACATTCTACAATTCAGAATATAACATTCAGTGATTCTGATGATTTGATCACTGATTTGATCACTGGACTCACTGGACAGTGCCGTCAGGAGGCACCTGAGCCAATGTACCAGGCGTGGGTCGAATATTCAGAGCCAAAACTGAACGAAATCATAACATGCAACACGATGAACACGATGCAAGACGATGCAAGACGCCCAGCACCTGATTTTGTGGAGTTTCTATGAGTTTCTTCCTTCTTTGAACTTCTTTGGCTATCTCTTGACAAACCTTGACAGTAAATCTCCTGGGGACTGCTCACATCTTCTCGCTGCCGTTTCTGTACACAGAAGGGAAATGAAGGGAACTAGAGTCACTCTGAGAACTAGAGTCTAACTGTAAATCATAGTAAATCTCCTGGGGACTGCTCACATCTTCTCGCTGCCGTTTCTGTGGGCAGAAGGGAAATGAAGGGAAATGAAGGGAACTAAAGTCACTGGAGCGTGCCAGAGACTTCCCCCCTCTGCTCAGACACCGATCGTTTTTTCAGGAGCCTGACTTGTCCGAGGACAGAAATCGAAACGTCACAGTTTTGAAAGGCGAACTCGACACATGTACTCGACACATGTACTCGCACAACATGTGCGCCTTGTTTCTTTCTTTCTTTACCGAAACGAAAGAACGAAACAACGGTTTACCAAACATTTTTGGTGACAAAATTATGACAAAAATTCCAACGATTTCTGACTTCGTCTACTTCGTCTTCGTCTTGGAGGAGACTTTGGAAAACATCAAGGTCGTGTACGATCAGGGTCCGAGGGGAACTACATCCCTCGCTGCAGCTTCTTGGCACAACAGGCACAACAGGCGCAACAGGCACCTGCCCAATGCACGCGTCATACAGGTCACTTTCGCACTTTCGCACTTTCGCACTTTCGCACTTTCGGACATTGCATGCATTGTACGCATTGTACGCATTGTGAGACATTTGTACCGGCTTGTATGCACAGTGTCCGAATGTCTCACCACATCCGAACACTTCCAACTTCACAGAGGTGCTGGCACAAAGTTTGACATCTCCATTTGATTCTACTATATTCATCTATATTCTACTTGTGCCTGATTTGTCTGCTATTCTTCTCACCAGGATCGACCAGCCGCAAAATGTCACATTCATATTCTTTGTATTTCTATGTGCCTTCGCTCTGTGGGCTTCTTTCCATCTTCCATGCTGTTTGTATCTGTTTGTATTTGCCAAAGGGAGCAGAACCCCCTTTCTGTGATTTTGCCCATCACCTTCTCCTGCTGAGTTTTGAAGTTCATAGAGATAGAGGAAGTGTGAGATTCTGGCACCAAATGTCGACCGATTTGTGTTTGAGTCTGTTTGAATTCCTGAAGTCAAGTCCAGATGACAAAGAAGAAAGTGATGGAAAGTGGAGGTTTCATTTGCAGAAGGAATCAGGCAATACTGCAGGACGTGATAGGTAGAATCAACAAGTTTGACCATCAAGGATCGAGTTATTGCAACTTCCATCTTGAAATAAGTTTTTCATTTCAACCGAGTTCTGATTTGTGTTTCTCTTCTTCTGTTTTAATCTTTTCTTGATCTCTCGCATTTGATCTTAGCATTACGAAAGCCAGCCGGTAGGCGAGCGAAGCGAGTTTAGGGGGTCCGGGGGCAGAGCGGGAAAAATCAAATGGATGTAAACAGGGTCAGGCGGGTGGTGATGATGGTTTTTGATCTTGCACGTTTTCCAGGCTCATGTACCAGGTGGCAATGGGGTGCCGGTGCGGTTCAATCCCCCTGGTCCGTATTTTCACGGGCTCAGAGGGGAAGCTTAGATGCGGCCAAAACACCGTTTTGTACGGTTTTTTCTGCTTCCTATTGTCTCGTGGACTTTGCGAAACAAGTGGAAATACCATGATTTGTCCCCAACAGCGTAAGCTTGTGGGGTCTTCAGCCCAGAATAGCTCCGGCGTGCACTGGTGCAGGCGCCGGGTCAGGTGCAACGAGGTTCTGGAGAAGGTTCCGAAGGTTCCGGAGAAGGTCTGGGAGGCTTTGGTGCAGAGCCAGGTCAGGTTCAACAAGGTTCCGGAGAAGGTTCCGGAGAAGGTCTGGGAGGCTTTGGCGCAAAGCCAAGTCAGGTTCAACGGGGTTCCGAAGAAGGTTGCAGAGAAGGTCCCGGAGAAGGTTTTCGGAATTTTTGGTGCAGGGCCAGGTCAGGTTCAACGGGTTCCGGAGAAGGTTCCGGAGAAGTTTGTTTTTCTTTTTTTTGTTTTCTTGGCTTTGCAGCACGCTTCAGAGAGATCGTTGCGGCTGTTGGGGATACCACCGAAGCTTATTCGGCGCTAACCAGTCAAACACATTGTAATTTACAGTGTTTTCTTACCTTGAGAAGGTTAGCAATGGTCAAAAGACCGCTATTTACAGGCTTTTCTGCTGTGGATGAAAAGTATGTGGGTGAAAAGCCTGTGGGTGAAAAGTCTGTGGGTGAAAAGTCTGTGGGTGAAAAGTATATGGGTGCAAAGTCTGCCGAAAAGTCCGTGGGCAAACAGTTTGTGGGTGAAAAGTCTGTGGGTGAAAAACCTTTGGGTGAAAAGTACATGGGTGAAAAACCTGCGGGTGAAAAGTCTGTGGGTGAAAAGTATATGGGTGCAAAGTCTGCCTTGTGGGTGAAAAGTCTGTGGGTGAAAAACCTTTGGGTGAAACGTATATGGGTGAAAAACCTGTGGGTGAAAAGTCTGTGAGTGAAAGTATATGGGTGAAAAACCTGTGGGTGAAAAAAATATGGGTGAAAAGCATTATGGTGAAAAACCTGTGGGTGAAAAACATGTGGGTGAAAAGTATACGGGTGAAAAGCCTGTGGGTGAAAAGTCTGTGGGTGAAAGTATATGGGTGAAAAGTATGTGAGTGAAAAGCCTGTGGGTGAAAAGTATATGGGTGAAAAGCCTGTGGGTGAAGAGTCTGTGGGTGAAAAGTCGGTGGGTGAAAAGTATACAGTATATGGGTGCAAAGTCTGCAGGTGAAAAGTCCGTGGGCAAACAGTTTGTGGGTGAAAAGTGGGTGAAGAGTTTGTGGGTGAAAAGTATATGGGTGAAAAACCAGTGGGTGAAAACCTGTGGATGCTACTTGTCATTCTTCGTTTTTCTGTTGTCTCTCGTTTCCTTGCCAAAGTTAGCGTGACTTGTAGCTGGCTGGAGTACCTTCTTGCTTTTGTATGGGATGTGGCGGGAGCAGCAATTTGCCAAACCCTTGATTTCTCTCACACACACAACTCTCTCTCACACACAGCAACTCTCACACACACAACGCTCTCTCACACACACACACTTTGTGTAGCAGGCGTGGTACCTATGGCACTGGGCTGCCTCTGCTGGCGCGCTTGGGTCCCGTTGCTGTTTGTGTGGCAGGCGTGGCATTTGGTCCATTCTGTGTGGCAGGCGTGGCACTTGGTGACGTCGACTTCACTTTGTGTGGCAGGTGTGGCAATTCAGATCCCGAAGCTGTGACACGCCGTGTGGAGAAGTTTGCTGTTGCTAAGCTGCTAAGCGCTGTGCTGTTTCTTTGCGCTTCCATGCTGGCATGGACTGGTTGACTTGCTCCAGTATTGCTTCAAGCATGTCCAAACTGATCTTGAGTTAAGGATGATGTGCTGCAGATTCAATTTCTTTTCGTGTGCTCACTTGCTTCAGAATTGCTTCTAGCATGTTAGCACTGAACAGGTTTGCACGATGTGTTGCACAATTGGGTGTCCAGTTGTGCTCCGTGTGGAGAAATGTTTGGATTGGAAAATCAACGCATACCTTGTAGTATTGTAGTGTAGCAACAATGCTTTTGCAGCCAAGACAAGGAGTTGCCAAGGCGGCTCTCTATGGTCTTGGCGCAACTGTCTTTGGCCACACATGCCACACAACTATTTCACACACAACTCTTTCACACACAACTCTCTCACACAGAACTCTCTCTCACACACACAGCTGGCCCCCACAGCTCTCTCGCGCACAGCTCTCGTACCTCTTACACACAATCTGTCTTCCGCCATCTCCTTTCTCTTTCCTGCCTTTCCCATCCCGTCTTCACTTTTGTTCTGCTACTTATTAGAAGAAATTGACCTGTGGGGTTATCCGGTCCTTTAATTTTACTTGACCCCCGAGGCTGGATTGAGGTCCGATATAGCTAGACCTGTATCACAGTGTAACCTTGGAACACATTGAACCCAATTCACTCCAGCAAACTCACTGTGTAAAGCTCGGCTTACTGCACCCGACTCATTCCATCTGAGCCATTGCGCTGAACTCATTCACTCCATTAGTCTTCCATTGCGCTGAACTCATTCACTCCATTAGTCTTGAAGGCAGCGTGGAGCTATGTGATTTCTCCCCTTGCTATCCGTCTGCTATCCCGAGCAAATCTGGCTTAAGTATTGGATGTCTGAGCCAAGCCCTCTACTTTTTTTTTAAACCTCGCTGCGTAGGTCTTAGCCAAGTAGAGCCCCCAGCCCCCATCCCAAAAAATGAAATAGTGGGAAGCGCTAGGGACAGGATTTAACTTTTTAATGGCGACGAAGACTTCTTTACAAAAGGGCTGCGTTTTTTCAAAGAATTATTTTACGTCTTGTGAAGGAATGATTGCCTTGAAGGAGCACCACATCTCAAATATCAACATATTTTTCTTTTCAAAAAACATCCCAAATTCGTATCCTTTCGTAATCTGTAGAATCTTAGAAGGTACATCGAAATCAAACAAAACACAGCCTTGAAAGGAGCTCTTCAAGAGACAGCGCTTTTTGACAATAGGATCAGGAATATTCTTTCATTCATTTTTCATATTGAATATGCTGCATAGATTTGCATAGTATTTCTTAAATACTGCGTTTTCTCAAGACAATTCTGTACGTTTTGCTCCGCAATGGTTCGTTGTAAGAGAAATGGAACTATTGGTACCAAAGATGTTACAGACAAACAACCATACTACAAGGTCACAGAGGGATGTTTTTTTTCCTGTATGATAAAAGTGTGCAGATGATGCTGCAGGGAGGAGAGTCTTTTGCTGTTTTTCTTTCTGCATTTGTCCAAGGTTGTACGAAGAATACGGCAACTGATTGCAAGGCATGGGATGCCATGCCAAGACATGCCAAGGGCCATGCCAAGCAGAGAAAATCCTCCACAGCCTCAACTTATCTCAACTTGCCTCAACCGCATAATCTCCTTTGTTTTGTCGTTCCGCAAAGAAATTCCACTGATTTACGGACGTGTTGAACGTGTTGAACGTGTTGAATAACGTGTTGTAACATGTTTCCCAAAGAAACTCCAATGCATGTGGCTGTGCAGCTTGTTTGCACCCTGTCTGGATTGCTGTCTGAGAATTAGAATTGAATGCACGACATGCATGAAATGCACGTTGATACGTTGTGGACATACGTTGATGCTGCTGAGCACTGCATGTTGCAAGGAAAGGCATTCGGACTGCAGTTGACATCGTGCAGCACTTCTATTCTGCAGATGAAGATGTTGATGATCAGCTCGACATGTGCCGCGAAAGAAGCGAAAGAAGCGAAATGTTGCTCGAGATGTACATGTCACATCGCGATGTCACCACAAGACTCAGACAATTTCTCAAGTGTTCAGAGAATCAAAAATATCGAATTTCTTTGGCTGCGTCTTGTTTTGAGACTGTCCCACTGAATCGTTTTGAAACGTGAAATGCAACGTGAAATGCAAAACCAACGCATGTCGGAGGTACGAATTTCGCCAAGCTTGTCGCAAAGCTGGCCTAACTTTTCGGGACGCAGAAGAGGCCGGGGGACAGCCTGGCCTTGTTCATCTCATGGTAAAACATGACGAGTCACAGAATTTTAAGTCCAGGTGAGGCAACGGAATTTCAATGAATTTCAGATCAAAGATTTAATTGAACCTTTGCAAAGAGGTCTATGTTTGTGCTAGGTAATAGCAGATTATTAGCAGATTATTAGCGTGGCATTCTGTGGCATTGCAGATCGAAAGTCAGCACAAGGCATTCTCTGCAACATGAAGATGAAAACCGTCAGCAAACCGGCATGGCAGAGTCAGAATTCAGGCAGATTGAAACAACTTCAAAGGCGTAAAACCGTCGAGTAAATCAACATCATCAAACACAAAACGCAAATGCTGATGGAGTTGGTCAAGGAGCACTTGCAAACATTGTGTTCATTTGTGTTCCAGAGTTTTGACATGTTTCACACTACCTTTGAAGAATCCAAGAGACTGAGTGTGCAATGTGTGTATTGTGTGTATTGTGTGTGTGTGTAAGTATGCGGAGAGCAGTCATGAAAGGTTCAAAGCCTGCACTGATTACCTGTCAGTACCTGTCAGTACCTGTCCCCCTCGACGGCTGAGATGGTGCTCCAATGAGATGTGAAAGGCCGGTGTGGTACTCCATCGACAATGCGTCCCACTGGAACCCGAGGCCGCTGCCGCTGAGCAGTCGCTGAGCAGTCGCTGACTGCTGAGTAGCGATCGCGATGGAAGGGAGCGATCCGTGCCTGATGAATCGGGATGAATCTATAGCTATAGACGGTCTAAAGATCTATAAAGGTAGAGGCCGGTAGAGGCAGGAGCGATGCACAGCGCACATGGCGTGACATGGCGTGACACAGTGGTGCCTCGGCCGGCCAGAGCAGATGGAGCTACGCCCTCGGTGACGCCCTCGGTGACGCTCCAGGTGTGGTGAAGTTTGCCCTCCAGGACAGGACGACAGGACGACAGGACGACAGGGCTGGTGGCTGGACATTGCCAAGTTCTGGCAGCGTGCAACGATTGATGCGATTGATGCGGCAGTGATTAGCCAGGATATCCAGGATGCATCAGGATGCATCAGGATGCCATATCTGCGTGGTATCGGAGTCGTACAGTGTGTTGGACCAAGTGTTGAAAGTCTATGAAATTCTACAGAATATCCGACCTGCAGGGCTTTGGTAGACAGCATGCTGCAAACCAGATAAGTTGATCCAGCTGTGAACTGGCTACACCATCGGAAAGCGAAGAGAATTGAACAGAGATGTAAAGAGTTCTGAAAAGAGTTAAGACAGCCATATACAGCTATGAGATTTATCGATTTACACTGAATTTACATGAATTTACATATATTTAAACATATATTTAACATGATTTATATATCTGAAATTTATCCGAAATTATCGGTGGAGCTGACGGACTTGGTCAACTCGTCGAGATCAGCCTCATGGTGGACACACCGTCCTACAAACAGGTTACCCAGGTTGCTTCACAAGGAACGATAGGAACGGCAAACGCTAGTTGCGCTGGCTTTCTTCCATGGACTATTCCTGCCAAGTCTGCAACATCCACAAGTGTCAAATTGTTACCAAAAACTGAAATCTCGACAAGTTTACGAACTGTTTACGAACATGACTTTCAAGTTGCAGTTGCGTTGACAACTTTGAAACTCTGTTGACGTATGTTCGCATGTTGTTGATCCGCTCATTTCCATAGCAGCTATAGCACTGTCGATGTGTGCTGCATTTCAAACACAAATCGACTGAGATGTCACAGTCTGTCACGGTCTGTGTCACAATGCACACCCGCAATGCCGGTTCTACGCCGGTTACAGAGTGCGCAGGTCTCGATCTTCGAAGCCTGCGCAGAGACCAAAGGGAAAATTCACCTGCCGACGTTCCTCAAACTGCTCCATGGGGACGGGTCAACCGGGCCAACCGGGTCAACCGGGTCAACCGGGTCAACCGGGTCAACGATGTTTGCCACAGTGGTGAATGTTTGCAATTCACTTCTTGTTCTCGGTATTCTTTCTGAATCATGATCATCACTATTCGTCACTTCTTGTTCTACATTTCGTTTGCCTTCCAGAATTGTGTAGGACTCACTTCAATCACTTCTCTTTGGACCTTTCTGCCCTGTTCCACCCTACAAAACAGACGGTCTTTGACAGCTTTGTTCAGCTTAAAATGCAGTGAATGTTCGTATACAGATGTCATCATGCAACTTTGTCATTTCGTGTCATGTTGTGTCATGTGTCACCCGTGAGTCACACCAGTCACACCAGTCACACCAGTCACTCTCAAGACATCTCACGACGGTGTTGACGCAGGAGATGTCGTCGGCAAGGCGTTCTTTAGTGGAGAGGGCCTTTGCAGCGGTCGGAGGTCCGATTTTTTCCATGGTTCTTGGAGGTTCTTGGCACTGCTTAGGACTAATAGTCGAAACCTCATAAACATAAATTTTACTTGAAACAATTCAACCTTTTCAAATCGACATACAAGAGATAAAGTAATCAACGTTAACGTAAGAGATATTCAAGACATAGTCTGGAAGGGGGAAGAACTAAGAGGTTCACCATCCTAAGGCCTCTGAATGCCAGACCTTCATGTCTCACAAGTTTGTCTATACGTATTTATGATACCTCATTTAATGATATTTTATCTGTATCTATGTGCGTATATGTCTGATTATGTTACGAAAGCCAGCTAGCTGGCTAGTTGCTGTTTGCGAACGAAGTGAGAATAGGGGGTGTGGGGGGGGTGGTTGCCGAAAGGGAACGAAATCTCGCCGTGCCCCTGTGTTGAGCGCGAGAAAACGGAGCATTTTGCTGGATTATGTACCACTAGGCAATTTGCTGACGGTGGGGTATCGATTCCCCCTAGGTCCGCCTTTTTGGCGGCCGGAGAGACCATGAGGATGTATTGGAAAATACAATGAAACTGCAGGAAAACATGATAACGATCAGAGGAAATCGTACAAAATCCCCTGGAAAACGGACGAAAACGGAGCGAATGCTAGGAACAAACCATGGAAAATCCCTTGGAAAATGGAGGAAACCGGAGCGAATGCTAGGCGCAAACCATGACGATACAGTAAACATGCTGGAAAAATACAGTGAAAGTGCAGGAAAATGTGATAACAACGAGAGGAAATGGTGCAAAAAGGATCGGAAAATGAAGGAGACAGGTAAAACTCTTGGATTAATATTAATATTGAAAAGGTATGAAAATGCAGGAAACCAGAGGAAATGGTGCAAAAACCTATGGAGGAAAGAGGTGAAAATGATAGGAAACATGTAGTAAAAAAATGCTGGACAAAACATATTGAAAACCCACGAAGAGGATGTATTGGAAAATACAATGAAACTTGAGGAAAACATGATAACGATCAGAGGAAAATGCTAGGAACAAACCATGCAAAATCTGTTGGAACATGGAGGAAACCGGAGTGACTGCTAGGAACAAACTATGACGATGCAGTAAACATGTTGGAAAAATACAGTGAAAGTGCAGGAAAATGCGATAACAACCAGAGGAAATGGTGCAAAAACGATCGGAAAATGAAGGAGACGGGTAAAACTCTTGGAAAAATACATTGAATAGACTGAAAACGCACGAAGAGGATATAGAAACTGCAGGAAAACATGATAACAATCAGAGGAAACCGTGCAAAATCCACTGGAAAATGCTGGAAAGATACAGTGAAGGAAAATGTGATAACAACCTGGCAGGAAAATGTGATAACAACCAGAATAAAGGGTGCAAAATCTGTTGGAACATGGAGGAAACCGGAGCGACTGCTAGGAACAAACTATGACGATGCAGTAAACATGCTGGAAAAATACAGTGAAAGTGCAGGAAAATGCGATAACAACGAGAGGAAATGGTGCAAAAACGATCGGAAACTGAAGGAGACGGGTAAAACTCTTGGAAAAGTATATTGAAAATGCATGAAATGCAGGAAACGAGAGGAAATGGTACAAAAAGCCATAGAGGAAAGCGGTGAAAATGGTAGGAAGCATGTAATAAAAAAAGCTGGACAGAACACAGTGAAAACCTACAAAAGAGAAGAAAGTAACCACAGGAAACGGTAGAAAAAGCAGTGGAAACTGGAAGAAAAGTTGTGACAATATTAGGAAAACGGTGTACAAGCTAGGAAATGCTTGTAACAACTAGAGGAAACGATGTAGAAAACAGTACAACATGGAGGACACGCGTGAACATGCTTGGAGGCATGCAACATGTTAGAAAAATACAGTGAAAACCTAGGAAAATGTTATAACTAAAAAATGCTTTAAAAAATATAGTGAAAACCAAGACAATGTCAACGAGCGGAAACGTTGAGCAGGAAATCCGATTTGGTTTCTGTAGATAATGTTAGATGATGAGCAATGTAGTTTGGTGATAGGAAATTTTGCTGACTCGCGTACAAGACATTGCCATGAAACCTTGGAGCAAGATGCGGATGGTATAGGAAAAAAGATGTATGAGTTGTAAGATTTTAGGAGTTGCATGGGAAAATTGGTTTCATGGTAATCTGTGTGAAGTTAGAAAAGTGTGATTTCGTTCACAGAGTAAGAAAAATAAATACAATCTGCAGATTAGAGTATTTATAATGCTTAAAGCTGTTTGACGTTTTTTGGTGCCTCCCTGATTCTGGTAGTTTTGTGATAAGAACTACAAAAACGATGTACTGGTAAACGGAAGGAATAGTCTTTCCGGTTTAGAACTGAGTCGACTGTCAAGTGATGCATAGGCTCCAGGCCTCTGGTTATTGTCACAAAGCATTGGAATGAAGATTGCGCCCAGGAGCCACCTAGGTTAGGAGACAAATGCTGCAATATCATTGTAAGAGGCCGTACTGAGAAGGCTGAAACAGAACTAAAAGTGAATCTTGTACTAAAACATCGAGAAAGAATTTGAATCTTCTAATGGCAATGACGGGAATGATATGCATCTGTACGTCCGTGATAGTATGTGTGCCTTTTAAAAGGGATGTTTGGCGAGTGTGATAGCTGAGAAGATTTTCCGGGATGCCAAACAATTATCTCTATCGATGTCAGGGATGATGCTATTCCGCGACATTTCCTGTAAAATACCTATTTTCCAGACCCTTGGGGGGTGGGGGGGTACCCAGGTCTGTAAATGGCCTAAATATATATACTTTTGATTTGGACTGCATGTTCGCCACTGTTCTATATTTCCCGTGGGTTTTGCATTGTTTTCCTCGATTTTCATTCGTTCTTATACCCTTTCTTACGTATGTTATAATATTGTCTTGGGTTTGCACTGCCCATTTTGCGAGTAGAGCTATGTTTTGATTTCTCACCGTACGGCCAAAATGTTGCGGAACTTCGCGGAGAAGCATGGACCACGATGGGGGGGAAAACAATTTAGACTTTGAGAGGTCACATGACCACTGTTCACACAAAAAAGCGGGTATTATTTATCTACAATAAGTGGGAGCAAACTTGCGCTGTTTTAAGATAAATGAGCAACCAAAGGCGGATTTACGGAACTTTTCACAATGCCGCAGCACATTGTAGGAAACATATTTGGATATAGAAGTTACAAAATCGTGGAGTTTACCCTAAAAAGGTCCATTTAATGATTGGAAAATTATGACCCGATACAGTAGCAATTGTTGATGTTGGGGCGCTTCATGTTTGAGCCATGCCATATGGATGAGGTGGAGTTTCACGCATCTCCGCGCGAGTCAAAAAGCAAGCGCTGGCTTTCGTTCCACCCCTTCTCAGGTATGTATATACTGTATATACGTATTTATATATATATACATGTATATGACACCTCATTTTGTGTGTCTCTTACAAGCCATGAATGACGAACCAATCCAGGATTAAAGATTGAAGATTGAAGGCCTGAGAAAAACTTCTTCAATCCACAGGCTTGCCCTTGCCGAACTTCAACCCTGCATTGAAGAAGTTTTTCTGATGCCTTCAATTTTCAATCTTCAATCCCAATTTTTTTCTTTGAAACGTTTTCAAATGTTTGGAGACGCACTTGGAAGAACATTTCCATAAGTACAAAAATATATAGGCTATTGTCGCTTCATCTATCTAGTTGATACTATTAATATATACATGGTACCCCCTCTCTAATCTACTGCCCGAATTCAACCCAAAAAATGGTAGATCTTTTGGGTGGGTACCATATATATCCGTATAATATATGGTTTCCGACATTTGCAGATGGAGTACCAGTATGACTTAGTATGACCTTCCAAAATCTTTGAACATCCTCTCTAGTCCTTGGCAGTGACACCCTGTGAGCACATAGGAAGCAACATGTGACACGCCACCGCAGTTATATGACACACCTTTTTTATGACACGCGACGCCGGGACGCGCGTCATGCGACCCATCACCCACTCATCATGCGACTCATCGACTCGTCATGCGACTTCAACGTTTTAACGTTTTGAAGGATACGTCGGATACGTTGCACCTGCAAGGGCAGTGCAGATCCGCGATACAGGCCCCCCCCTAGACTCCTAGACTTATTTAGTAGCAGAAAAGGTTCCTGTAGACTTGTTTAGTCACTAAATTACTCTGTGGAATCCTGTTATCTGCCGCTCAATAAGTCTACGGGAGCCATTTCTGCTACAGAATTGAACAAGAACCCCCCCGCCGCCATTTGAACAACACCCCCACCCCTTCGAGGGTTCTTCCACACAACCCCCACCCTCGGGACGGTCTCGTGCACTGAAAAAACGCAGTGAATATGGTGGAATACTGCAGAAAATCTGAAAATCTTGCGTTTGCTACAGCAACTCAGCTTTAAAAGAACCCTGGGCGATAAGTGCTATTCAGTGCCATTCAGTACTCGCAGTTGTTTCCCACTGATTGCATTTTTGTTTTTTCCAACCACGCACTGAGCAGGCAACCCACAAGATGACCAATCTGTGGCTGCAGCCTTACCTCCAAGCCTGAAGCATTTGTGGCAAGAGAAAATGGACACGCACATGTTTACACATCGCAAATCAGTGAAACTATGGTAAACTGGGTAAGCCCATGCTTCCTTCGATTTCAGATTGAAACTTGGTGTAAGGGCCCGCAAGGCTGAAGTCTGTATCGTCCACTTTCAAAATCGAAGTTTTTTTGTTTTTTTTGTCTTGGGGAACCGTAGGGAACCGTGGGGAACCATTCAACGAAACTTGAACGATTCGTTTCGATTCGTTTCGCTTCGGTTATTCGGTTCGCTCAATTTTTCACCAACTTGTCAAGGTGAGCCCTGGGAAGCTGAAGGAACACTTCATGGCCCAGGTGCGTGGTCTCCCTGGTGAGCTGGTGTCGACATCTCCCAGCAAAAACATTTTTGGATGTTTTGGCTACGTTTTCGGGTTCGTTTTCGGAGGAGAAGTGCATTTTTCCAAGGTTTCAGCGAGAAAACTCACTCTGGCTCACTCTGGTAAACCATGTTGCAAAAGCATTGGCAAGGAACCAAGTTGAATGGAGGCCATACAAAGGCAACACCTGCGTTTTTCTGTGTTCACATGTATTCACAATGGGCAAGAAGGAATAAAGGAGTTCGAAGATAGTTCTGAAGGCAAGGCAATAGAGGAAATATGAGGAAACATAAAGAAATATGAGGAAATGATATATGAAATGATATATGAACTGATATGACAAGAGAATGTGAAATAAGACATAGGACGAATCGAGTGTTGAATGCCACGTTTTCAATACGTTTTCGACATGTTTGCTGCCTGTTCGCATGTTCGAAAAAACACGGTGCAGCTGGGCCTTGGGCAGGCACATCCCTTGGTGGTCCGTGGCGAGCTGGAGCCAGGCTATGTCCTCGCGGAGAACTGCTGGCCAGTTAAACCGTTGAACCGTTGAACCGAGTTCTGCACATCTGCGAAAATTAAAAGAGTTCTGCAAAAGACGCAGAAAGCCTGAACATCTCGAGTAACATCTCTGAACGGTTGCAGAAACCGAGTTGTGCTTGGTGTATCTTTGTGTTGCCTTCGCGTTGTCTCCGTGCAATCCTGTTGTGACACCCTGACAAGCTGATCGAAGCCAAGCCACACACCTTAATTGGAGAGCGCGGAGAACATGAACTTAGAATCTAGTGTCGGCATGGCAATGCTCTAACTTGCCAGATTCTTAGACACCTTCAGTCAGCTCGCCCATGTGCTTGGGGGATGTGAGAACGGCCGGTGGCTGAGGGGAAAGCAGAGACATGACATGACATGAACGCGAAAAATCGCGATATCAAGGCTCACTTGGATTTTTTTTGCATTACGCTGGATGATGCACTACATATGGTGTATGCATTTTACTATGCATTTTCACGCCAATGTGAGGCATGGTCTCATGGGCAGATTTCCACGCGTACTATGACGTTGTCTCTTCTACCGTCATGGTCTCAGAGCGAGCTTGCTGTGATTCGCTGGTGTTGCCTCTGTGCAAAATTGCGAACGGTTTTCAACGGTTTGTCTTCGTTTTCTTGGTTTTCATGTATCTGAGTCTATCTGAATCTATCTGATGCGCTTCTTCTTGGCAGAGGTTACTATACGGGCCCATTGGGGGAAAAATAGAAGAAATGCAGAACTGAAATTTAGTTTGAGCTTTGCAGGCCGCCCCGGCTGGGGCTAAAGGATCCTGATCCACATATCACATACCAGGGGTCGCCCTCGACTCACCTGAGTCCCACCAGTCAGCGACTCCACATGGCTGCGCAAGTCTTTGCACCCTGAGCCTGAGTACGTCCTGCCGTGAGAAAGGATACTGCTTTGAAACTCCCTATACAAAAATCAAAGAGACAAGGTAGGGAGGCAATGGCTCAAAAACTCACGTCGCTCCCGACGTGTTCGTACATAGAAAATCGCGTCAGCTCCAAACGGGCCGTCTATTCAGGCTCGGCTGACCTTCTTCTCTCGAATCTCATGTGTGCCTGGGAACAGTTGATCGACAGCGAGGCCAGGCTTCTGATCATACTTGATGGCCTTCAGATACAGGCACAGATCTTCCAAGCGTCCTCCACAATCCGCTCCATGCTTGAGAACCCAGGTCAAGTACTCATGATGGTTCTTGGGATCTTGGACCAGCTCTTCATAGGACAGCTTGAGGCCTGCAACCTTTGGCAACTTGGAGATCGTAGTTCCCCAGTCCTTCAGGTCACTAATGCCAGGAGGCAACTTACACCAGTCCCAGAACCAGGGGCCAACGGCAGCTGGGAACCGCGAGGCGAGGCGAGGTGTGCCAAGGTGCTCATAGCTCTCAAAACCTGCGTCCTCGGAGGTAGAGGGAAGACGTTTGCTGCTATCGCTCATGGCTCCCAAAATGCCTAAGCTCTGCAGCTCATCCTCATCACCTGGCACCCGGCCAGCGGCATTCATACGATCCAGCAGGCTGCACAGCAGCTTTGCCTCATCGTGGGACAATGGAGCTGCTGCTTTAGACAAACCGCTCATTGCACACAGAACGACGGATCTCGAGAGTGATATCGAAAATGAAACTTAAAATCACTAAAGAAACTTCACGGCTGATCGAATTCCGTCCGCACTATCGAGCAGAAAAAGGAACCCACCTGCAGGTATGATTCCAAGATTGGCACTTCAGCAATCACCCAGCGAATCTCCCATCCAATCACATGCTCCTTCTAATGCACCAGTGAAAACAAAGCTTGTGGTCAAAATGATGCTGCACCAAAAACTGGACATCGTCGGCTGCACGGATGTACCAACAAAATTGAAAGGCCACAAAGCTCTCATGCTTAAACACACTGAGATGAATTCGGCAACTTTCTATGGCTTGATTGCTATTTGGTTTCATGCATGCTCTTCGGCAACAGACCAAGGTTCTTGCGACGCTCTCTCTCTCTCTCTCTGCTTTTGCTCTTTCCAGGACGGTGTCTTCGTCCGCCAGTTGGCTGATCTCACCACAGACCTCAGGATCAAGAGGTTCTCCACGGTCCTTTGTGAGACCGTCTGCCAGCATGTGCCCGGTCGGACACCAACCAGGCTCCAATCCAGCTCGGAAGATGCTCTGTCGAATAATGGCCACATCGATGGCTGTGCGTTTATCATCCAGTGTACCACCCGAACCCAGTGAAATCAAATGGTCATACAAAGATCGGCAATCAGTAATTCCAATTGGGGGTCTACGTTTCAACATGTTGAGCGACTCTTCCAAACTAAAGGGACCATCCAAACACTCTGCAAGCAAAAGCAGGGACCACTCAGCCATGCCGGATGCTGTGGCGAAGGCCTGGGCCTGTCCTGACAGCGTTGATGCTACCACCCTGAAGCTTATATGACTTCCAACCGATGCAGTGCACTGGAACATCCTTACCTGAACTCATTTGCTTGGAGGTCAGGCTCATCAACCAATCACCCTGAGTTTTGTGATCCTCAGAGTTAGCAAAGGCTGCATCAGACCAAAAACAAGGCACTCTCATCAGCAGGTCACGCTGTTGTCGGCATCTACGGACGGCTTGGTTTGCAGCTAGCAAATGCTGTACAGTGGTTCGGGGCAACGCTTGCTGAGACATCGAAGTCTGCACTGCCAAGTCGGGTCTGGTTTGAGAAGAAATCCAACCCAGTGCACCATTCACCGCTCTCAAGGCTGAGATATCCTTATCAGTTGCTGATAACCATGGCTTTTTGACCCTTTCTTTGGCTATGCTTATTGGGCGAATGTGCACGGCAGACTCCTTCTGATGGAAAATGATTTCTCCATTGTCCAATTGTTTGTATACAGTTCCAAGGAATTCCCCTTCTCCAGTACGCCACTTAGGAAAAGGAAAACGAGCTTTCAACATCTCAATTGCAGCTGAATATTTGTCTCCACTCCCTCCCGTGATTGTATCATCCACATGAGCACCTAGCACTCCTTGGAGTTGACCATCACTACCATGACGGAAGTAAAGACAGCTATCCAACTTGTGAGCGAGTGAATCCCGCCTGCCTGGCCACCGAGTCAAATTCGACATACCAGTTGTTAGGTGCATCATTGGCACCATAAATGTTGCCAAGCACTTGCACCAAGCTACCGGCGGCTATGCCGGGAACTCCACCCGGAGGAAGTTCCGCGAAGACAGGCTTTTCAGAAGTCTGCTGTGAGATGTCTGCTTCCAAGAAGGCTCCCTTGATGTCACCCAAACTCAAACTCCAACCAAAACTAACGATAAGCTGCAGGATGATGCTACGACCCAGTTGAGACAAAGTGGGTGAGTGACATTTCCCTGACATCACTTTTTCCACTAAATCTGGATCATGATGACCTCGCAGACACCATCGTGCTTTGATGCGACTCGAATTCTCCTCCCTCCTCCTTCTTTTCCGTGATGACAAAACGACTGCTCATGATTCGATCCGAGATCGCGCCTAATTTTGTGAGCTTGATTTGTGGTATAACTCGGATGGCATGTTTTTCATTCTGCAGTGTATGAACAAACTCCACTATCTTTGCATCATCGATCTTTTCCTGCAAAGCTGGAGGATTGTTGGAGTGTCGAAGCTCATGTTGAAGCTTCTTCTGCAAAAATCTGGCAACTAGAGACTCTACTGACTCATGCTGCCCGGCCATCAGAGCTTCCACAAGCAAAACCTCTTCTGGATCAGTGCGGGCTACTGTATGTTCTGGGGAATCACTTCTACTTGGACTGGGACCACGTTTATGCCCATGCTGTGAGAACTCTTCCAGGACCTCGCGCAAGTCCTCGGGTTTCAGGTCTGGAGGACGGATCAACTCATTTCCTCTGCCGGGCCCAAACGACCTATGCCTGATGGGGCCATATGCAGAACTAGTCTTTGGATGGCTCTCAGATGCACAACCCGTATTTGAACTAGAGGTTGATCCTCCGACATGCCCGTTGGAACTTGACAGAGTCCTGAAGAGGGCTCTGGCTCGGGCACGCTACACTCATCAGACATTGGCACGGCTGCACTGGAGAGTTCTGATGACTCGGATGTGGATGACACCAATCGAAAATGAGTCTCTCCCAGCCAAGGCTGTGATCTTAAGGGACTGCACTGTTCATCACGATCCAAAGACCAAGGCTTGTCAACATGTTGAAAGTCACTGTTTCGAATGCGCGTCAACCGCCAATCCTCCAGTTGCTTACCTGCCAAAAAGGGATCGGATGCTTCAGGCATGAACTTTCCAACCCTAAGCCGATTGTGAATCCGTATCAACAACTTACCTTCCTGTTTCCACTGATCAGAAGATTCCACAACATTGTTGAAACCAGTTGCAACATCGGCGAGGCTGGGTGGACCCTCTTGGCGGGTGAGGTCCATGTATTGGTTACCCAACAAGTTTTGGCCCTCAGCAACTAAATTTTGGATCCCCAAAAGTTCTCGACCATCGGATTGGGCCATGGCACGCTCGGTGTCTGAGGAGTGGCTAAAGTGCTCTGGTGACACCTTGAACGTTTTGTCGATGAAACACCAGCACATTTCGGCCCACTTTACCCATGACAATACCGGTTCCATAGCATCGACCACCAACCAGTCTGACTCCCTTCATGTATTTTTGGGTCCTCCAATAGCTGACAAAATCCCCGGCCACAAAATCACGCTCAACTCCAGGCTTGGCGTTCAAAGCAGTCCGCAAGCTGATGTCATCTTGGGACACTGCCACTGCGGTGCGGGCAGCGGTTCTGATTGCCAACGTACGGGCTGCTTGGGCATCGTACAGCGGACTTGTGGCAGCTACTGGATCTGGCTCATCCTGGAGCAAGTCACTGGCTATCCTAGAATTACGACCAAACACATGTTGAACAGGACTGAGACCTCGATTGTTGATCATCTCATTCTTGCTGTTGCAGGTGGCCAAGACGCACTGTTCAAACTCTTGTTTGCATGTTGGTTGAACCTGATCCAGCACCTTCTGCAAAATCACCTCGCACAAATGGCCATGTTTCTCTACCTTGCCTAGCTGGTTATGAGCCTCTGCTGCTGTGCTCAACACTCGAGTTCCTACCAGCTCCAGTGGGTCCACAAAGGATGAGGCCAGACTTGTTCGTGCAGGATCAACGAGAACTTCCACCGGTGCACCTGCCCATGATTGCCATCCCTTTTGAATGCGATCCTTCAGCAAGTCACCAGTCTCGACTTCATAAAAACGAAACATCACTTGAAAACCGGATGCATAGTCGATCACATTCAAACAGCTCACTACTGGGTTCGGCTGCCAACCAGGAACTTTCTTCACATCTAGTCCTACTCGATGATTGAAGTTAACAATCTGATGGGTTGACGCAGGAAGGCATGGTGACGGTCCCTGTCGGTGAAAGCAAACGTCACATTTGAAATCGGATGCCAGACGAAGAGCCATCTCAGAACCACCGGCATTTTTCAAGACTCGGGTGAGTTCCCTATTGGTAGGGTGTCCAAGGTTATTGTGCAACTTCCTAAGTTCAGTTTTGACTTGGGCTTCGGAAGGTGGTTCTTGATCAGCGGCCAAAATCTCTGACACCTGACATGTTCCTATCTCAGCACTCTCACTCGGACACAGAGCAGGAGGAGTTGGGTGTTCCTCCAGGCATGCAAGTGACACAGACAGGGCTTGGACTCCAAACATCACATCCAGGTTCGACAGAATTACCTAGAGGTCTTTACACTAAGATTTTCTCCATCAAGGCATTTTCCTTCTACATGCTTGTGCACCTCATGACCAGGACACACTCTGGCAAGCTGTATCATGTCGGAGTGTGACACCGCGATACCTGTTGGCTTACGGATTGGCAGTCCTGAGTCTGGATCCGACAGCCCATATGCACACAAATCAGTTCGGCACAGGTGCATACGCCGAAGTAACTTGGCCATAGGAGGATACCTCCACAAATCTGAACTCCACGGGTATTCGATGATCACTCGACCACCCCGATCAAGCTGCCTTTTGACCTGCCATATCACGAAATCAGCCTGTTTTCGTGCCACCTTCTGCAAGTGACACTTTTGCAGCAGTGTCAAATGTTGTTGATTGAGACGGAACCAACTTTCCCAGTGCGTACAGGGAGGACAAGCTACCAACAGTTCTGGTCGTTTTTTGTTTGAGAAGCTTATCAACTGTCGACTGAGTCTTTGCTCTATTTCCCCATCCTTGAAGAATATCAAAAGCGAGACCCTTCTTGTCCTGTTCTTCTGCAATTTGGGAAAACCGTGGGGGAGAAAGCAGCTCTGCCACCAAATAGTCATCAGTTTTGGGTTTCATTTTGTCCCAAGCCCCTGCCTGAGCCATGAGACAGCGGTTCTCCTTCATGGTGATGTGGCATTGGGGCTCATTGCAGGCCTCGGGATAGCTTGACACCAGTGCCTCCACGGGTGCAGAGAAGCTCATGACGTCGATCATGAACTGCCCAGCAGCATTGGTGGTCAAAGGGCGAGGTGGTCCACCCTGAATGCTGAGTCTCCTCTGCGAAGTTCATCACAGAACAAGACTTTTCATAGTTGACCTGCTCAACAACAACGGCGCATCGCCCTTGATCACAGCTGCCTCAATTGTTCCGTGACGTCCGTGGATGCCTATGGGCAAAGACACCACCTTCTCTGACATCTCCTCCTGTCCATTCGCAAAGCGGAACAGGTTGTTCTCCTTTTGCAGGGTGGGCGAAGGTCGATTGGCCTCTGCCAGCAGCCGATAGAAAGCCCCCAGGTAGCCTGACCAATCAAGGTTCGGCCACATCCAGAATCCATGATGCCAAACCCCGGTGACGAGACCAGCAAGGTCTCAGAGGCCTCCGCAGCCTCCCATACCACGGCCGCTCCTGCAGCATTGGAGCTGCGCTCATCACCTTTTGCAGAGGCTTTGTTGGGACAGTTGCGAGCCCAATGGCCCACCTTCTGACATCGAAAGCACCTGGTCTGCTTTCGGACATCTCCCACCTCAGAGACGAACTTCTTCTTGACGATGTTCGCCTGATTGAAGCGCCGGCTGCGCTGCACTCCGCCATATGATCATGCTGCATCTTATCCGGGAATCTCTCATCCAGAACCTTCCAGATCGCTTCATCACCGTCATCTTTGGAGAGGTCCTCCAGCCGGAGGTGTTCCACACATTCCAGCGCCAACCCTTCCAGCAGCCAGTAGACGAAGGGACCCCGCTGGGACTTCTGAATGTCCTTCATGGACAACATCTTCGCCTTGACCCAGGGCTTCCACTGTCGGTAGGCCTTGCCATCTAGGTCGGCTCCAGAGAACCTCTCGTATTGGCCGCCCCCTCCATCTTTTCCCCCTGGTGCGAGCTGCTCTGGGCAGCTCCGCTACCAGTTTTATTGGGGTCGCCCTCGACTCACCTGAGTCCCACCAGTCAGAGACTCCACATGGCTGCGCAAGTCTTTGCACCCTGAGCCTGAGTTGCCTACGGAATGTCCTGCCGTGAGAAAGGATACTGCAAGGGTCACTGCTTTGAAAATTCTATACAAATATATATATATATATATATGACGCACATTGACCAACACATACATGTATATAATTAGTTGCATGTACCATTAGTACCGCACAAGGCGGTGGCGGAAGTTTCAAAAATAGGAAACCTATAGGAGAGGTTGGTTGTTGTGAATCACGGATGGCAGAGCGAATCCACTGATGGACCGAAAGGTGGTTGGAGTTATGTTTTTTGGAATGGTTGCAATGGTTGCAGTGGTCACCTGACCACAACTGCTGGATGTAGTGTGGTGTAGCGCAGTTGTAGTTGTAGTTGTAGTGCAGTGGGGTTGTAGTGTAACTAGTGAAGCGTAATTAGTTTAGTGTATGTAGCGTAGCATTTTTGCATGTGTGTTTGCATGTGTATTTGCATTTGTAGTTGTAGTAGTTGTAGTAGTAGTAGTAGTAATATAGTGTAGTGGCATTGGTAGTGGTAGTTGTAGCTGTCTATCTATCTATCTATCTATCTATCTGTCTATCTACCTGTCTGTCTGTCTGTTTGTCTGTCTGTCTGTCTATCTGCAAGTCTGAAAACGAAGCTATTCTGCGAGACTTCCTCAATTTCTGAACTTGACAACGTCAAAAAAGCAGCAATTCTGAGAGACTTCCTCAATTTTCGACGTTGACAACATCAAAAACGAAGCAATTCTGCGAGACTTCCTTCAAAAATGGAAAGCTGAGTGCAGAGCTGACGGCCTCGTGCCAATAAGTTTTGCGATTTTTCGATTCCATCTGTCTAAAGTTCTGCACCTGCCACAAAAAAGTGAAGCCAGGCTAACGACATGCTGCACCTGTCACGCAAAATCATATCAGCAAACCTGAAGATCCGATGCTCCAAAATGCAACCCTTTTCAGGAATCCTCCTAACATCTCGGATGAACAAGTCTCTTGTACTGTGCCTGCCACGCGAAATGCATCTTTGCAGATCCTCTTCAAATGTCCCACGCCTCCCATCGTTTTTGGACATGCCACAAAACCTTCATGTTTTGCTCACTTTTGGCAGGCTGCAGAATCCTTTGTGCCTGCCACACAAAACCACATACTAACTTCAAAAAGTGTTCCGAGAATGCTGTGTTCTGTACATTTTGACTTTGAAATGTGCTTCGCGCCACAACGGTGTGCACTTTGTCAACATCTCACCTTCCAAACGTAGTCCGAGAATGCTGTGTTTTGTACATTTTGACTTCGAAATGTGCTTCGCGCCACAACGGGGTGCACTTTTCCAACATCTCCTCAACTTCCAAAAGTGGTCCGAGAATGCTGTGTTTTGTACATTTTGGCGCCGCAACGGCATGCGCTTTTTGGACATCTCAACTTCCAAAAGTGGTCCGAGACCTTCAGAATTCTTGATTTCGAAACGTGCTTCGCGCTACAACGGCGTGCAATTTTTCATATCTCATGTGGCCAGATGGATCCGCACCCGCCGCTTTAGCACCTCCGGAGCCACAAATCATTGGGAAAACATAGTGCTTCACGACTTTTCTACCTTTTCGCGCGCCTGCATCTTCTTTCTTCTGACTCTTTCTCTGATATTCTTTCTTCTCTGCTCTGCTCTTCTCTTCTCTGACTCTTTCCACCTCGGCTTTTCATCTGCCCATATTGTCGGAAGTTTGACTTCTAAACTTCCTTTGCTATTTTTTTTGTTGAATATATTCTTTGATGAAGGCATGAGTTCATGCGTCACACACACATGCAACACATTCCCAGAAGTTGGCTATCCTTGATTCCTTTTGTAGCTGCATCTGGTGTGCTTCGATCCTGGGATGCTTCGATCCTGCTGCTTTGACCTAGGTTGAAAATGATGCTCTTTTCGATTTGATAGTGTGAGGGCCTGAACCAAGCCCCTGATCTGTCCGGTGAAAAAATCCGTGAGCAGAAGGACTCAAAGGACTGACCAACAACTATCGGCCCCCAAAGGCCAAACGGCTAAACCAATGTGTCCGTCACCGAATCAGAAGGAAGTGAAATCATTTTTTGGATATCAAAATATGTGTTGAACTTGAACGTCTAGACCCCGAGCCACACTAGCAAGTGACATGATGTCAAACAAATGCAGCAATGTGATGTAATTTAAACATATTTGAACACAATATCACACAATGTGCCAATAATAGTGACAATATACCGAAAGTGTGAGGCAACGCGTCTGGGATGTGAAAACCAAAGCCTGGGCTGATGGAGACGTGTCCCCCAGGTGCCCGTGCCGGAGCTAAACTTTCAGAAGCACACGTGATAGATTTTAGAACTTTTCAGAGCTTTACGAAGTTCAAAACTTTTCATATTTTTTAGATTTCTTTTTTACTTCTCAAAAGTTTGAACACTTTCGTTTCATGTTTGTCATTTCTCGAGGGTAAGCAGGATCAGGTGAAAATCAGATTCCAAATGCGCCATGAATAGATGTGTGAAATATTGTGAATCCGAAATAATCCGAACACAACGTGGAAGATCGGGTGGGAATGCCTTGAGGCGGTTGGTTCGGGAGGTAGACGATGCACCATCTCCTACCGCCGAGAAGAGGCGTCGAGTGATGTGGGGCGTGCCAAAACAAAGACAATGTAACGTCTTCAATTTTTTCGAAAAGAGTTTTCTCACATCTTGAAGCTTTTCAAAAACCTGAATGACTCAACATGACCACAACGGAGCGACATCAAAAACGTTGTGATAGCTCTGTTGCTCCACATCGCTCCACCTCGCTCCGACTACTATGAGGCCTCCACCTCATAGCGGTCCATCAGTCTATACTATGGACAGCCCCAGAGGGCCTCAGGACCGCTTCACATCGCTTCACGTCGCTTCACATCGCTTCGCATCGCTTCATTTGGCTTCACATGGCTGCACATACTCGTAGCGTCACATCGCTTCATTCACATACTCGTAGCGTCACATTGCTTCATTCACATACTCTTAGCGTCGCATCGCTTCATTCACATACTCTTAGCGTCACATCGCTTCATTCACATACTCTTAGCGTCACATCGCTTCATTCACATACTCTTAGCGTCACATCGCTTCATTCACATACTCGTAGCGTCACATCGCTTCATTCACATACTCGTAGCGTCACATTGCTTCATTCACATACTCTTAGCGTCACATCGCTTCATTCACATACTCGTAGCGTCACATCGCTTCATTCACATACTCTTAGCGTCACATCGCTTCATTCACATACTCTTAGCGTCACATCGCTTCATTCACATACTCTTAGCGTCACATCGCTTCATTCACATACTCGTAGCGTCACATCGCTTCATTCACATACTCGTAGCGTCACATTGCTTCATTCACATACTCGTAGCGTCACATCGCTTCATTCACATACTCTTAGCGTCACATCGCTTCATTCACATACTCTTAGCGTCACAGCGTCTTACATCGCTTCATTCACATACTCGTAGCGTCAATCGCTTCATTCACATACTCGTCACATCGCTTCATTCACATACTCGTAGCGTCACATCGCTTCATTCAATACTCGTAGCGTCACATTGTAGCGTCACATCGCTTCATTCACATACTCGTAGCGTCACATCGCTTCATTCAACATACTCGTAGCGTCATCGCTTCATTCAATACTCGTAGCGTCATGCTTCATTCACATACTCGTAGCGTCACATCGCTTCATTCACATACTCTTAGCGTCACATCGCTTCATTCACATACTGTAGCGTCACATCGCTTCATTCACATACTCGTAGCGTCACATCGCTTCATTCACATACTCGTAGCGTCACATCGCTTCATTCACATACTCGTAGCGTCACATCGCTTCATTCACATACTCTTAGCGTCACATTGCTTCATTCACATACTCGTAGCGTCACATCGCTTCATTCACATACTCGTAGCGTCACATCGCTTCATTCACATACTCGTAGCGTCACATCGCTTCATTCACATACTCTTAGCGTCACATTGCTTCATTCACATACTCGTAGCGTCACATCGCTTCATTCACATATTCGTAGCGTCACATCGCTTCATTCACATACTCGTAGCGTCACATCGCTTCATTCACAGACTCGTAGCGTCACATTGCTTCATTCACATACTCTTAGCGTCACATCGCTTCATTCACATACTCGTAGCGTCACATCGCTTCATTCACATACTCGTAGCGTCACATCGCTTCATTCACATACTCGTAGCGTCACATCGCTTCATTCACATACTCGTAGCGTCACATCGCTTCATTCACATACTCGTAGCGTCACATCGCTTCATTCACATACTCGTAGCGTCACATCGCTTCATTCACATACTCGTAGCGTCACATCGCTTCATTCACATACTCGTAGCGTCACATCGCTTCATTCACATACTCGTAGCGTCACATTCACATACTCGTAGCGTCACATCGCTTCATTCACATACTCGTAGCGTCACATCGCTTCATTCACATTCGTAGCGTCACATCGCTTCATTACATACTCGTAGCGTCACAACACATCGTTCATTCACATACTGTAGTCATTCACATAGCTTCGTTCACATACTCGTAGCGTCACATCGCTTCACACATACTGTTAGCGTCACATCGCTTCGTTCACATACTCGTAGCGTCACATCGCTTTCATTCACATACTCGTAGCGTCACGCTTCATTCACATACTCATAGCGTCACATCGTTCATTCACATATCATTCACACGTTCACTCATACTCGTAGCGTCACCATCGCTTCATTCACATCGCTCATCGCTCTTCACATACTCTTAGCGTCACATCGCTTCATTCACATACTCGTAGCGTCACATCGCTTCATTCACATACTCGTAGCGTCACATCGCTTCATTCACATACTCGTAGCGTCACATCGCTTCATTCACATACTCGTAGCGTCACATCGCTTCATTCACATACTCGTAGCGTCACATCGCTTCATTCACTTACTCGTAGCGTCACATCCCTTCATTCACATACTCGTAGCGTCACATCGCTTCATTCACATACTCGTAGCGTCACATCGCTTCATTCACATACTCGTAGCGTCACATCGCTTCATTCACATACTCGTAGCGTCACATCGCTTCATTCACATACTCGTAGCGTCACATCGCTTCATTCACACACTCGTAGCGTCACATCGCTTCATTCACATACTCGTAGCGTCACATCGCTTCATTCACATACTCGTAGCGTCACATCGCTTCATTCACAGACTCGTAGCGTCACATCGCTTCATTCACATACTCTTAGCGTCACATCGCTTCATTCACATACTCGTAGCGTCACACCGCTTCATTCACATACTCGTAGCGTCACATCGCTTCATTCACATTCTCGTAGTGTCACGTCGCTTCATTCACATACTCGTAGCGTCGCATCGCTTCATTCACATACTCGTAGCGTCACATCGCTTCACATACTCGTAGCGTCACATCGCTTCATTCACATACTCGTAGCGTCAAATCGCTTCATTCACATACTATACTTGTAGCATCACATCCCTTCATTCCCACGCTCGAAGCGTCACATTGCTTCACATGGTTTCACATGGCTTCACATCGCTTCACGTCGTATCACATCGCTTCACATCTCTTCACGTCGCTTCATTTGGCTTCACATCGCTTCATTTGGCTTCACATCGCTTTACATGGCTTGCATGGTTTCACATCGCTCCACATGGTTTCACATGGCTTCACATGGTTTTTCTCCTTGCTTCACATCGCTTCACATGGCTTCACATGGCTTCACATGTGTTCCCATTGCTTCACATGGCTTCACATGGCTTCCCATCGCTTCACATGGCTTCACATGGCTTCATGTGGCGTCACATGGCAAACCACCGCTTCACATGGCTTCACATGGCTTCACATGGCTTCACATGTCTTCACATGGCTTCACATGGCTTCACATGGCTTCACATGGCTTCACATGGCTTCACGCCGCTTCACATGGCTTCACATGGCTTCACATGGCTTCACATGGCTTCACATGGCTTCACATGGCTTCACATGGCTTCACATGGCTTCACATGGCTTCACATGTCTTCCCATCGCTTCGCATGGCTTCCCATGGCTTCACATGTCTTCCCATCGCTTCGCATGGCTTCACGTGGCTTCACATGGCTTCACATGGCTTCGCATGGCTTCACATGGCTTCACATGGCTTCACATCGCTTCACATCGCATCACATGGCTTCACATGGCTTCACATGGCTTCACATGGCTTCCCATCGCTTCACATGGCTTCACATGGCTTCATGTGGCGTCACATGGCAAACCACCGCTTCACATGGCTTCACATGGCTTCACATGGCTTCACATGTCTTCACATGGCTTCACATGGCTTCACATGGCTTCACATGGCTTCACATGGCTTCACATGGCTTCACATGGCTTCACATGGCTTCACATGGCTTCACATGTCTTCCCATCGCTTCGCATGGCTTCCCATGGCTTCACATGTCTTCCCATCGCTTCGCATGGCTTCACGTGGCTTCACATGGCTTCACATGGCTTCACATGGCTTCACATGGCTTCACATGGCTTCACATGGCTTCACATCTCTTCACGTGGCTTCATGTGGCTTCACATGGCTTCACATGGCTTCACATGGCTTCAGATGGCTTCACATGGCTTTTCCTTGCTTCGCATCTTTTCACATGGCTTCAGATGGCTTCATGAGCTTCCCATCGCTTCACATGGCTTCACATGGCTTCATGTGGCTTCACATGGCTTCACATGTCTTGCCATCGCTTCACATGGCTTCACATCGTTTCCCATCGCTTCACATCACTTCACATGGTGGCTTCACATGGCTTCACATGGCTTCACAGGCTTCGCATGGCTTCACATGGCTTCACATCGCTACACGTGGCTTCACATGGCTTCACATGGCTTCCTATCGCTTCAGATGGCTTCACATCGTTTCTCCTTGCTTCGCATCGCTTCACATGGCTTCAGGTGGTTTCACATGGCTTCACATGGCTTCACATGGCTTCGCATGGCTTCATGTGGCTTCACATGGCTTCGCATGGCTTCACATGGCTTCACATGGCTTCACATGGCTTCACATGGCTTCACATGGCTTCGCATGGCTTCACATTGCTTCACATGGCTTCACATGGCTTCGCATGGCTTCACATCGCTTCACATGGCTTCCCATCGCTTCACATGGCTTCACATGGCTTCACATTGCTTCACATGGCTTCACATGGCTTCACATGGCTTCACATGGCTTCACATGGCTTCACATGGCTTCACATGGCTTCTCCTTGCTTCGCATCTTTTCACATGGCTTCAGATGGCTTCATGAGCTTCCCATCGCTTCACATGGCTTCACATGGCTTCATGTGGCTTCACATGGCTTCACATGTCTTGCCATCGCTTCACATGGCTTCACATGGCTTCACATGGCTTCACATGGCTTCACATCGTTTCCCATGGCTTCACATCGCTTCACATGGCTTCATGTGGCTTCACATGGCTTCACATGGCTTCCCATCGCTTCACATGGCTTCACGTGGCTTGACATGGCTTCACATGGCTTCAGATGGCTTCACATCGTTTCTCCTTGCTTCGCATCGCTTCACATGGCTTCAGGTGGTTTCACATGGCTTCCCATGGCTTCACATGGCTTCGCATGGCTTCACATCGCTTCACGTGGCTTCACATCGCTTCACATGTCTTCACATGGCTTCATGTGGCTTCACATGGCTTCGCATCGCTTCAAATTGATTCACATGGCTTCATGTGGCTTCACATTGCTTCACATCGCTTCACATGGTTTCCCATCGCTTCACATCGCCCCACATGGCTTCACATGGCTTCACATGGCTCAAGATGCCACAAGAAGTCAGTTGAAAATAGTTTGGTTCCACCAAATACGTTTAGCTGCGACGAATTTTCTCGAAGACTGTAGAATAATTGAATTGTCGAAGGAAGTTTAGAAGTCAAACTTCCGACAATATGGACAGATGAAAAGCAGAGCAGGGCAGAGGCAGAGAGAAGAGGAAGATTAGAAGAGAGAAGATCAGAAGAGAAAGAGTAAGAGGACAGAAGATACAGATGCGCGAAAAGGTAGGAAAGTCGCGAAACACTGCGTTTTTCCAATGATGTGTGGCTCCGGAGGGTCGAAAAGTAGGCTCGCTAAAGCGGCGGGTGCGGACCCAGCTGGCCACAGGAACGATGAAAAATTGCACGCCGTTGTGGCGCGAAGCACATTTCCAAGTCAAAATGTACAAAACACCTCAGCGTCAGACCACTTTTGGAAGTTATGATGTCGAAAAAGTGCACGCCGTTGTGGCGCGAAGCACATTTCCAAGTCAAAATGTACAAAACACCGCAGCTCCGGACCACTTTTGGAAGTTGTGATGTCGAAAAAGTGCACGCCGTTGTGGCGCGAAGCACATTTCCAAGTCAAAAGTGTTAAAAACTGACGGTCTCGGACCACTTTTGGAGGTTCAGATGTCGAAAGTGTCGAAAAAGTGCACGCCGTTGTGGCGCGAAGCAAATTTGGAAGTCAAAAGTGTAAAAAACTGAGGGTTTTGCGCCTTTTTTGACGTGCTGATGTCGAGAAAGTAGACACTGATTAACTTAACTAACTTGACTAACTTAAGGAACTTCACTAGCTTAACTACCCTAACTTCGACGACAACAGCAACAACAACAACAACTACTACTACTACTACTACTACAACTACAACTACAACTACAACTACACAACAACTACAACTAGAACTACAACTACAACAACTACAGCTACAACAACAACAACAACTACTACTACAACTACAACTACAACTACAACTACAATAGATCGATAGATGGAGAGATAGATAGATAGATAGATAGATAGCTAGATAGATAGATAGATAGATAGCTAGAAAGATAGCTAGATAGATAGACAGAAAGATAAATAGATAGATAGAGAGAGAGATAGATAGATAGATAGATAGACAGACAGACAGATAGATAGATAGATAGATAGATGGATCAATAGATAGATGGATCAATAGATAGATAGATAGGTAGATAGATAGATAGATAGATAGGTAATTAGATGAAAGAGAGAGAGAGATAGATAGATAGATCGATTGATAGATAGATAGATAAATAGATAGACAAATAGATAGGTAGTTACATAGATAGAAAGTTACATAGATAGATAGACAGATCGATAGGTAGATAGATAGGTAGATAGATACATAGATACATAGATACATAGATAGATAGTCAGAGAAAGAGAGAGAAAGAGAGGAGACCTCAAGCACCTTTCGGTCCATCAGTGGCTTCGCTCTGCCATCCCTCATTCACAACCACCAACCTCTCCTATAGGTTTCCTATTTTTGAAACTTCCGCCACCGCCTTGTGCGGTACTACTGGTACGCATACATATATAAAGAGGACATAAGCATATACACATGTACATCGCAGATCAATTCTGTATATACGTACATACAGGTACATTCTTTATGTTTCTGTATTGTTTAAACATGTTTTGCGCTTTACCTTTGGTTTCTGTTTTCAAACAGAATGAGTGTTTGCGAAAAATTAGGCAGCCTGGCAGCCTGTTTGAGGAGCATCACCGCAGATTTGGCAGGGGTCCACAGCCCGCCCCTCAGATTGGAATGCAGTGCAGCAATGCAGGGTGCTGTGTCGGACGGTTGGGCATGGGACATGCTGGGACACGCATACTGGACAGAAACCAAATGAGTAACCGAGACAGGCTAAGAATGCTGACAAACTTCAGACTGAAGATGGTCCGAAATATAAAAAAATCAACTGTTGGGAAGCAAATTGGGAAAGATCCCGGATGATACCGGCAATCACTTTGCAGGGCATCTGCCATCACGAAGTCATCAATCGCTGGCCTGGCTTTGTTCGGCAAACTGTTGCTTGGTGATGCTTGGTGTGGGTTGCTGTTCAGACAGATGTTCTGAGACTATTGGGGAGTCTTTCCCGGCTAGAGATCTCCTTGTTAGTTCAACAAGAAGCATTGAATTTCCATGATTTTCCTGATGTAGACTATTCACTCGAACTTCTCATCACAGAATTGTTGTTTACCAACCTTCCACACTGGCCCTTTGCGCCGAAACCTCTCCAGTCTCTCAGACCTAGGAGCTTTCATTGTTTTTCATGTCGATGTCAAGTCGTCATTGATCCAAGGATCTCAATAGATTTCATCTCTTGCGCTGTTTGCAATCCATTTCCAACTCTTTTAGGGTTCGGCCAGCAGAGCCTACCACTTCGACCATCCCTTCTACAACTTTGATCGCTTGCCGATTTCCGGCTGTCACATCGCCAGGTCTTTGCAGACATCGTCAACACCTTGCAGGAACGTAGAGCGAAATGATGTACGATCTGTGCGATTGAATCAGATTGAATCAGATTGAATCGGTGATGTGCCGCGCTTTCAGCCAAGTCCTGTATCGTGTCCAACGTGAACGCCATAGACCAACGACAAGTTTTGTCAATCTTCAAAGTCTTCAGTAACTTCAGTCTATCGATTCACGGAGTTCACGGACAATATGTAGGACGGACGACATCGGACGATTTTTTTTGCAGACTGCAGGAAGTCTTCCAGAGGCGGGGTGGGCGCCGGCACATCAGGAAGTCCAAGCCGTCCAAGCCGTCCAAGTCGTTGAAGTTGTCCAAGTCGTTCCTAAAGGGTTAAGAGGAGTCCTGTTTCCTCACACAATGATTTCTGCCAGAGTCCTTAAGGGAACTCAGCAACATTAAGATTAGAACATGAATAAACATTTGAAAGAGCGCGTTTCAACAAGTTCATTTGAGTTCTATATATATATATATATTAATTATGCAAAACCTATTTCTCGCAGTCTTAATTAGTCCAGTGAGGAATCGCAATTTCGAATGATTCGGAACGATTTGGAATGTTGGAGTACCTTGGCCGTACCTCACAGTGCAGATTGTCGATGCGCAGTCACAATCTGGGTATGCTTGGCGCCCGGTGTCTTGCAAATGCAACCTTGAGCATCCTTGAGCCCTTTTTGATGCTTTCCCCGTGGGAACACCTCAATTTTTTTTTCTCGGTGCTTAGGTTCCTGAAACGAACGATGAAGTATGTTTCAGAAGAGATACACACAGACAAATACACACAGACTGCAGACTCTTTATTTTCTCTTTGTTCGATTACTATTTGGGCTGATTTTGACATCTATGTGTGACGTGCGTGGTGTTTAAGGTATTGGGTATTCAATCTGTACCGAAAGTAATGCGAACAACGCGAACACCGTTTCCCTTCCGAATGTTCTTAAGATAATTGGGAGTCCGTTTCCCTTCCGAACCAGGCTCAGCCGCAGCATCTCTTTGCGCGGCTTGCGAGGACTGCATTTGAGTGCGGCCTTCAATTGGCCTTCAATTGGAGTTTGAGCGCAGGTTGGCTGACCGTGGTGCAGCGGTTCCAGCATTTTGACTATCGAAGGACAGCTGACGCGTGTGTCAGCATGTGTGAGCTATATTCTTTCACATGTGCCTACAGCATGCTTACCAAGCAACACATGCGTGCATGCTTCGCAAGAGTTCTTGTGTACATACCCAAGGTATAGGTTGTATGCGATATGCGATACTATGTACTTCAACTGATATCCACATCTTCCAGGTTAGTCTAGATTCGTCCAGTTCCCTGATGCGGACATTGTTTAAGCAGAATGGGCGGGCAGTGTTTTAGATGCTCAAATGACTTTGAGAACTTTGCGGACTTTGCCTGTTTTTTGCGCATGTTGCCCTTGTCGCGCTTGTTGCGCCTCAGGAATGGCACGGTGATGCGCCTGGACTGGCAGCGTGCCTCGGTACTGAGTCCATTTTTTGTTTTGCCTAGCTTTGCATGGTATTGATGGACAATAATGGGCGTTGATGGGTATGGGTATTGACGGGTATTCATGGGTGTTGATGGGTTTTGATGGATATTGATGGGTATTGATAGGTGTTGATGGGCATTGATGTGTATCAATGGCTATTGACGGGTATTCATGGGCATCGATGGTGATTGATTGGTATTAATGCGTATTGATGGGTATTGATGGGTACTGACGGGTATGGTTGGGTATGGATGGTACTGATGGGTATTGGTGGGAATTGATGTGTGTGGATGGGTTCTGATGGGTATCGATGGGTATTGATGGGCATATTGATGTGTGTTGATTGGTATCGATGGGTTTCGATGGGTATTGATGGGTATTGACGGGCATTGATGGGTATCGATGGCCATCGACGGATATTGATGGGTATTGAGGGGTATATGGATGGGTGGATGGGTATCGATGGTATTGATGGGTATTGATGGGTATGGATGGGTATTGATGGGTATTGATGGGTATTGATGGGTATGGATGGGTATCGATGGGTAGTGATGGGAATATTGATGGGCAAGTTGATGTGCGTTGATGGGTATCGATGGGTATGTATGGGTTTTGATGGGTGATGAGGGCAGTGTTTCGAAAATATTTCATTTTCAGAAGGTGTTTGTTTGCCAGAGTTTTGCAAAATCCTTCAAATTCTTTCAAATCCAGAAAATTCTTTGAAATTCGTTCAAATTCCTTACAATTCCTTAACATTCCTTAAAATGTATTAAAAATCATTAAAAGTCTGTAAGCTTGCTTCAAATTCCTTCAATGTTTTTGACATTCCTTCAAGTTCCTTAAAGTACCTTCAAATTCCTTAAGTTCTTTAAAATTCCATTAAAATTCCGCTCAGATTCCTTAAAAATTCCGTAAAACCCCTTTAATTTTTCTTAATTTTCCTTTCAATTCCTTTCAATTCCTTTAAGTTCCATTAAATTCCTTTCAAATCCTTTAAAGTTCATTAAAATTCCTCAAAATTCCTTAACATTCCTTATTAAAAGTCAATAAACTCCGATAATTTCCAACAATTTGCCAATATTCCCTAAAACCTCCTAAAATTTCCTAATATGTCTTTAAATCCGCAATGCTACATAAAAATTCTAAAATTTCTCAGCCCTTTCTAAAATTACCTGATGTTCCTAAAATTTCCGCAATTCTCTAATATTGCTTAAAACTTATTAATATTTGCGAAAATTTCCAAAAATTTCCCAATATTCCCTCAAATTTCTTAATATTCATTTCCTCAAAATTTTCAATATTTCCTAAGATTTCCTAAAATTTGCTTTTATTCCCGAAAATGCCATAATATTCCCTAAAATTCACGAAAATTACCGAATGTTCCTGATATTTCCTAAAATTCCCGAATATTCCATAAAATTTAGTGATATTCCCTAAAATTTCTTCAAAGATTTTTCAAATTCATTAATATTCATTCAATTCTCCAATATTCCCCAACATTTCCTTTAAACAAATCCAATGATCCCGAAAATTTCCTACTATTCTTCAGTATTCCCGAAAATTCCCTGATACTCCCTAAAATTGCCAAACATTCGCTAATATTTCCAAAAACTCCTTGATGTTCCTTAAAATTTCCTAATATTTCAAAAAAAAACTGGAAATCCCCTAATGTTTCCTCAAGCTTCCTAATATTCTTCAAAATTCGCCAATATTCCTTAAAATTTCCTAAAAAGTTTTAAAATTCCTAGAGCTCCCTAATATTTCTAAAATTTCCGAAAATTTCTAGTATGCCCTAAAATTCCTTAGACTTTCCTGAAATTCCCTAATATCCCGTAAAATTTCTTAAAATTCCCTAATATTCTTTAACATTCCTTAAAATTCATTAAAATTCCTGACAATTCCTGAAAATTTCTTTAAATCCGTCAAAATTCTTTAAACTTCGGTAAAAATCAGTAAAACTCTTCAAATTAAAATTCCTTCAAATTCTCCAAATTTCCGCAAAATTCCTCAAAATTTGCAGATTTTTTTTTGACAATTCTTCACAATTCCTTAAAATTCCTTGAAATCCCTCTCAAAATTCTTCAAAATTCTTTAAATTCACCAAAATTGCCTAAAATTCTCCAAAAAAGAATTAAAATTCATCAAAATTCTTCAAGATCCATCATAATTCCTCAAAATTCATCAAATTCCTTTAAATTCTCTAAAATTCATCAAAATCTCTCAAATTCCGGAACATTTCCTTAAAATTCCAGAAAAAAATCAAAATTCGTCAAAATTGGTCATTTTTTTAAAATTCATCAAAACTCCTTAAAATTCTTCAAAGTTCCTCAAAATTCCTTGCAATTCTTCAAAGATTCTTCAAAATTCGGTAAAAATTCTTCAATTTTTTTCAAGATACTTCAAAATTCTTTAAAATTCTGAGAATTCTGTAAAATTCCAGATAAATCGTTAATTGTTTTTTAAATTGTTTTCAAAATTCCTCAAAATTTCCTTAAAATTCATTGAAGTTCCCTAATTCCTTAAAATTTTTCAAAATTCTTCAAAATTCCTTAAAATTCTTTAAATGCTGTAAAATTCATCATTCTTTTTTGCGAATTCCTGCCCCAGGCCTGTGCCGGGGTCTGGGCCTCGGTTTGTCTTCAGAGGACCAGGAGCAGATCTTCAAGGACCTCGGATGACGGATACTGGTTGGATGATGTCAGGGGTTGGGGATTGGGGGTAGACATGTCCCGGACTGTCCCGCAACGAACGTTTGAGGGACAGAAAATCAAGAGATCCGGTAGCATGGAGGAAGTTAGAGCGCAACAAAGAAAATGATGGGAGGAGAATGAACATGAGTAAATTTCAAGTGATGCTCCACACAACTTGACGTGATTAAGGGGTGATCCCAAGCGATGCGACATGGGAACCTGAAGTCAGTCTGTGCCAGTGCTTGTAAATTCCAGGAGCTGTCAAAGAAGAAGAAAGGCCAAGCAATGGCATGGGCCCCATGGGCCTTAAGGTAGAACCACATTGCTGCGAGAGTGCCATGTTCAGGAACGGCTCAGATGCTTTATGATTTCATTACCAGTTCTATATCTCCTGACCAGCTCCTCAAGACTAACAACTCAAGAAGTGAAGGCCCTCGTGCCCTTTTTGAACTCAGGATTACGTGGAATGTTTACGCATTCTCCGTGGAGACAGTTTGCCAGAGGCTCTAACTCCCCTGCAGCCTGCCAAAACATAAGCTCACTGATGCTCAGGGCATATACCGTCTATACCTATTTTATTTCATCTCTGCACATCTCTGCACATGTCTGCGCATCTTCGCACTAGGTATTGCATCATGCATTGCTCCCTCTGGCCCAGCATTTCCAATTCTTCCAAAGTTTCGTTCAGCATTCTGGGAGGGGTTGAACAGTAGTTGTTGAACAGTGGTTCCATATAGTTCGATCGGACAAAGCACTGCCAGGAGCGTGCGCAGGCAGTGGATCACCTCTTCCAGGCAGACCAGCGGGACAGGTCATATGAACCACACACCACATGGGGCACCACATGGGGCACCACATGGGGCACCACATGGGGCACCAGATGGAGCACCAGCAAGCTTCAGCAAGCTTCAGCAAGCTTCAATAAGCTTGAGTGTTCATGCCAAAGGCCCTAAACCATCTAAAACAATTTGAAACCATCTGAAGCTCTTCAGACACACGACATGCAAATACACGACGGGTGGAGGAGAGCAAGAACAGCAAGCAAACACAAGCACATGTTTCTTGGTGCCAATTGGGTCGCGTAAACAATAGCAGTTGCGGAACCAGGCTATTGCAAGGTGGTTTGGCCGGTGTGGTTTTCGGACAGCCCCATCATGTTCAGAACAGTGGCGAACCCAAGCTCACACACTTGCTCAGACTTGTCTTATGGAATTGTGATGTGGAATGCATCGGACGTGCAAAACACCCATTAAATGCTGATCGGAGAAGAAATTGGAGTCGGGAGCTGACCCTTCCCTTTCGATTTCCAAATAGATGCCAAATAAGTTGCCGGAGCTACCATCGCCATAGCCAGTGTAAGTTGCCATAGCCCAAGTGAAGGTTGATTTCAGATATCGGAAAAAATTGGACATGAAGTTTACCGCAGTCCCAGATTGCGCCAAAATGCAAGAATCAAAAAAGAGTTTGAAACCTCTGCGAAATGTTTGTTGAAAAACGGCGAGGTGGTTCTTGGGTTAGGCCCTGCCCGTCACAGAAATTTGACATGAAAATTGAAGCAGGTACGTCGATCCAGCGTCCCGGATCGATATCACAGAATGTCATAGCCGTCTTCCTTGGCTGCAGAACTATGCCATTCCCTGCAGCCCCCTGCAACTAATAAAAATCAAGGTACGAGTTTTACATCTATTGAGATGTTTCACACACTCACACACTGAAAGCCAGCTAGACCACCAACGGAGAATGAGTAACCAGCCAAGCGGACGAGAAGTGAAGCCAGTGCAGCGGCTGACGCGCGGAGACTGACCAGTAGCGTATGTGACCGAAGAGGTCTGTCAGCAGCAAGCGCGGCTGAACAAGGGAAGTTGATGATAGATGATGTTCAATGAATTTATAGCATAGATCGCAGCATCTACAGGCCTATGACATAGATATTGTATTTATTATATTTCATCAGATATTTAGGTTAAATATACGTAACATATGTGCATACAGACAAGAACATATAAAACATACATGAAATACATGTATTGCATCAATCTTAGAGAGGAAGACATATAAGAGATACGAGAACATCTCAAGGAGCCTTGGGACGCCCACGCAGCATGGTATTAGTATAGGTTTCGCAGAGGCCGAGTCGAGGCATTGATTGATCCCCTTGCCTTGTCGTGGAATCTTGCCATAAAATGCTATGGTCCTGTGCTCAGGCCAAGCACTACAAGTACCACAAGTACTGTGCTTGAGTACTGCTTTCCAAGTAGCCTTAAGTGCGTTAAGTAGCCTTAAGTAGCCTCAAGCAGCAAGCGCCATGAGCTGCTGAAGCACAGCAAAAAAGAGAGGAAGCGCAGGAAGTGCAGGCAGCGCAAGGGGCGCAGGAAGCGGAAGCGTTACGTCCAAGTTAAAGAGACATTGAAACAACACCGAAGCAACGTCGAATATATCGAACAAAATGAACAAACAATGGTTGACCGAAAGCCTTGTTAGATATTTTTATTGAACGCTGACATATAGATCATGCCTTTTTCAATAAAAAACTGTTTTCTTTCGCTTTCACTGGCGGACAAAGGTGCTATACTTTGCAGCCGTATGCACAAATCTAATTGAGGTGCCAAAAGCCTCTACCCTTGAAAGCCTGGTAATTATTAAAAGAAAATTAAAAAATGCTACCTGGCCCCCAAGGTGGCCTAAGTACACGTGCGGACTTTGGTAACGGTTCATGCCACAGCGGTTGCGTGGCAGTCAAACCAAGCGAGGGTCAGTGCGCATGTGGCACATGGACATGATAAGTGCTTGCCAAAGTGTTGCCAGTCTCAGGTGGACGGCCGGGACAATTTGTGTACAAAAGGGTTGCTAACCTTCAGCGTATCTCGCACTAGAGCGGGAACTCATGAAGAGACTTTGCTGGCTGCAAGCACAGAAATTTGGGTGCACTCATCCACCGACATGATGGTCAAAACCTTGTAGTGCCAGAATGTGGGCATGGTGCCCATCATGTCTGAATCCAAACCGTAGAACCACTAACAGATTGAAGACACAAGGACGTGACGTAAGCAGTGGAAAATGCTCTCCCGCAAAGTTCCTCAAAGCAGGACCAGCTTGCATGCAGGAATGGCCAGGCTCCGGCTCTCGTGACGTATTCAACTCCAAACTTGTTTGGCATAAATCGCGTTCCAGGTGAAGGTCCAGTCTAGTGGCTGTACCGGCTGTGCCAGGCATGGAGTTTGAACAAGCTGTTCCGAGGGATTTGTGTTCTACAAAGGCCTTCGCAGGAACAGACTCAAGCAGCATAGCGCTGCATAACGTTGCAGACAAAAAGGTGAAAGCGCTCTGATCACAACTTGTCATTGTATGATGCAGCTGCTGCGTCCAAACGGCAAGGTGAACGCCAAGAGCTAGGTGGCCTGAGCATAACAACCCAATTCCCCAAAGTAAACCAACGTTTGAAGTGGAATAGTTAGTTAGATTTTCTAAGTACAAAAAATCCAATTCTTATTGAACCTTGAAATAAGAAATATCAGAAAAAGAATTGTCAAATAGTCAATTTAAACTGATTTTTTCAGATGTTTTTCTCTTTTAATTAATTTAAGACTTAATTAAAAAGATCAAGAAATAGAGGCTCTTTAAATCTTTATAATATTTTTCCCCCCTCCTCCCAGAGATTCAAAGTCCTTCATTAAAAAAAAGTATGCCACTTGGCCCCCAAGGCCTAAGTACAAAAGCCAAATTCTTCTTTAAGCTAGAAATTGAAATATTCGTTAGAATTCGCAAAAAAATATGTAAGAATTCTCAATTTTTTTGGTAGGCCACGTGGCCTAAGTACAAAAACTTCTTTAAACTAGAAATTGAAATATTAGTTAGAATTCTTTAAACTGTTTTTTTTTTCCAGTTGGGTCTTCGAGGCCTTGGGCACAGACCACGTGGCGCCGGCGGAGCTCAAGCGGCGCTTCGACGCCTCCAACGCCCCGCAGTGCCTGCTGCGTAGGACTGAAACGATGAAACGACGAAACGACGAAACAAGATACTTTCGAGCCGCGTGCACCTGGCTCACGCACAGGCACCTGCACGTACATCTCGTGAGATCCAGTATGTGGGCCCACCCAACAGCCACATCGTTTTATTTTTACAAATCTTTCTGAAGCGTGCTGCGAAGTCGCTGGAAACACCTCAGCTGGGTTTCCGTGAGTTTTCTGGAACCCTGCTGAACCTGACCTGGCCTTGCACCAAGCCTCCCACACCTTCTCCGGAACCTTCTCCGGAACCTTTTCCGGAACCCTGTTGAACGTGACCTGGCTCTGCACCAAAGCCTCTCAGACCTTCTTCGGAACCTTCGGAACCTTCTCCGGAACCTCGTTGAACCTGACCCGGCGCCTGCACCAGTGTACACTGGAGCTATTCTGGGCTGAAGATCCCATTTAGCTTACGCTGTTGGGGAAAAATTGAAAAACAAAAAGATCAAAAAGGAAGCTTTGATGATGTTTTGTTTTCTTTTTGGTTTTCGGAAGCCAACCAAAAAATCATACGTCATACGTGTGCGGTGCAAACTACTGTGCGATTTCATACCGCACATGCAAGCAGTTGACCGAGAGTCACGAGCACGGTATAATCAAAAATGGGATGCATGTTTTTTGGGCCTGGGCACCCTTTTTTTGTACTTGTACATGTTTTCTGGACCTGGCCGGATTTTTTTTTTGGACCTGGGGGCACAAAAAATGTAGGGGACGTGCCTGTGTGTTTTCTGGACCCTGTGGGGATATTTTTTTTTGGACCTGCATGTATTTGTGCTGGACCCAGGGCAATTTTTTTAAGACAGCCAAATTAATTGTTTCTGACCTCGGTTTCTGTTTTTTGGACCCGTGCGCCTGCTTCGTGGACCTTGCCTCCATAGGGTGGGGGGGGGGAAACTCCATTGTTATAGGCGCTCGCATTGAGCTGGATGTTTTTGGACCTTGGCGCCTTCTTTTTTTGAACCAGTACATGTTTTTTTGGACCTGGCACAGGGTGGGGGGAATGTAGATATTGAGACAAGATGCATGCAAGAAGTTGTTGATGCAGGGGAAGTTCGGATATTGAAACAACAAAAACGTAAGAAGTGGTGAAGAGGCCAATGCGGGGAACCTACATATGAAACCAAATGGATGCAGGAAGTTGAGAGGCAAATGGGGGGAAGAGACAATTAGATATTAAAACAAGATGAGCGAAATCAGTTGTTGAGAGATGAGGGGTGAAGCCTAGACATTGAACCCAAATGACGAAGCATGCAGGAAGTTGTGGAGAGACGACGTGCCACAGAAACCAAATGAATGCAGGAAGTTGCTGAGGGGCACCGGGGGGAAGTTTAGATATTGAAACAAGATGAATGCAAGAAGTTGCAGAGAGGCTAGGGGGAAGTATAGATATTGAAACCAGATGAATGTCCCCACGTGAGGCACTTTCACCCAGGTTGACGCCAAGTTGAGCCCCTGTGCAACTGAGAAAGGTCGAAAGAGGTGTGAAAAGTAGGAATTGAGAAGAGGGCAGAAAGGGAAGCAGGCACTGAACCACACAGCTGAAATGCTTCCTGCCATGTTGCATGGTCGCGCAGCTCTAGCCCCCTACTGTCTGAAGAATTGCGATCAAGACGCAGCTTGGAGAATCTAGCCAAAGGGGGTGTGGTTTGGGGAGGGCCCCCCCAAGGTCCAGCAGGGTGTGCATTTCCAAAAGAATTGTGATATTTCCCGGCCCAAAAGAAATGGAACGAGGCCCAAAAAAAATGTTTTCCTTGAAAAATGCACACATTCAGCAAATATCAGCGTCCGCATTCACAATCAGAACCATATCGTGTACTATACCTGTTCAAGTAGCGGTATACAAAAGGTCTGTGGATGTGCAGTTTCTTTGAACACAACAGAAACAGGTGTTTGGTATTTGCACACGATTTCCTTTCGTCCTTTGTCCAAAACATACAAAACTAGGGGCAGCATTTGCCGGTCATGATCTGCAGGAAGGATCCCCGGCAAGCAGAACAAGAATTCTTTGATGCTGTCGACTTCTTCTCGCAAGGCATCCGTTGCTTCTTGTTCTATTATGTTTTATTCGTATTGGGGACTCTGATCCACCCTATATGTTCTATCAACTCGGAGGAAACACCTGTCATTTTTTTCATATTGAAACACTCTCAGTTTGTTTTTCATGTTGGCGTTTGATTTTTTGATTTTTTTTTTGGTCTGCTGGAAGGCGCGCCCTTTGATGTCGAAAAATTTGACGAGTTCTTCCGTATGGTCTCTGCAGTTCACGAGGACGGAAGGTGAAAGGTAAAGGCCACGAGGCATCCACGAGGTGAACAGTTTGAACATTACTTGGAATGAGTCGCATTCATTCGCATTGCACGAACACAGGACTTTGCTGACCGTACCAGTATGAAAATGATGACATATGTGTGGAAAATTCTTTGAAATTAAAAAAATCCACCGTAGCATACATATCTGATACAAGGTGCCGAGCACACCTGACTCCAAGGGACATTCTACGCCTTGTCGCGACATTTTTTTTTGTTTTGTTTTTTTTTCGGCCGTGGAGGATGACGACGAGTTTCGTTTGATGACGACCAGTGCATTTAATGTGCAGTAGAAAGGCATCCGAGGAGGCGTGGCGAGCGTGGCGAGCGTGGTGAGCGTGGGCATTTGATATCGTTTGACTCAATTGCTCAGCAATTGCTCCTTGTGATTTCGCCGTTTCTGCCTGGATGATCTGGACATATCTGGACATATCTGGATATATCTGGACATATCTGGATATGTTTCTATGATTCTCATTGATTTTCTATGCAAGACACCACTGTGTATATTGAGCCAATGCACCGGCCGAGAAAAAGAGGCACGGCATGGGTTCCTGTCGGAGGTCAACTAAAGCCAAAAACAAGAGGAAAAGGATTAAAAGGATGAACAAAAACGTAGCTATGAGGTCATAATGCTTTTCTAATGCTTTTATAATGCTTTTCTAATGCTTTCAGGCCTCAATTGTGGATCCTTTATGATCCTTTGCTATCCCGTGCTACTGGAGCTTACATTTTGAAGCATTTCGACGTTTGAAAGATTTTAGTTTCAACGATACTCGATGTTCTGCCCCGGGTTGCACATCTCTTGTCAAAGACTTCAAATTGAAGCGGTAAGCACGTGGTTTGGTTGTCATTACAACATTGAACTGCCGACAATGCAGATGTGCATCTTGGGACATTGCGGATGAGACATTTCATGCGGCCTCAGATGGTCTAGATATTTTTTGCGAGAGCTTGCTTCGAAGTTGTGAATGTTTTCTGATGTTTCTGTAGCCCTCTGAGACTCAGTCTCGGGAGTTTCCAAGCAGCCCTCTCCTGTTGCCCCCTGCGCAGGAAGCTTAGGGACTTGTGGAGAAACTGAAGAACAAATAAATGAAAACCTTGAACACCAATAATAATATCAATCATAACTAACTAACTAACTAACTAACTAAATAACTAAATAAACAGATAGATAAATACATAGATAAATACACATATATATATATATTATAAACATTTCCTTTGGACAGGATTGCATGATATTGCATGTGCGGATGTGTCTTGCCTGAACCTGAACTGAGAGCTTTGTTCTATATACTGAGGTCAAAATGGGCAGGGGCAAGACGAAAGTCCAGGCCCTGCACAGCTCCAAAGTACATGGGTCAAATTGACCTAGGACATATTTTGCACAATCTATTTAACCTTCATAAATCTTCCGTGTTAACATTTTCCTTTGCAATTGCAGAATCTATTTGTGTTACCCTTTTTTAATCTTGTTCTCAAGGGTTTCGCAATATACTTCCTCTTGTTTGAAACAATGAGGGCTCGGATGTGGGCTGTTTCTTTGCCACTTGTAGCCATACGTCTCCGAGACAAGTCTCAAGTTGCTGTGAAACTTCTCATGCGATTTGGATAAGACTATCCATTTATTATGGCTTTCATCATCTTTCATCATCTTTCATCATCTTTCATCCATGTATCCAATATCAAACATCATGAACAATTCCACGGTGTTCTACGGCATCGTTCTACGGTATCGACGGTATCTATGGGTTTGTCCTCTCAGGTGCCAGAGTGTCGCTATGGTGCGGCCTGTACTCGGAGGCATATCCGGAAACTAAGCATGCTATTGCATCTATTATCATCTATTACATTTTATATCATTCTATTACATGATATTGCTGAACAAACTCTACCTTCCATTTCCCGTCCGTGAAATATCATGAGATTGTTTGAGTAGCTGAATAGCTGAGCCAAGAGCCAAGCGCCGTGGCAATTTCCAGGGATTGCGTCTTCAAGCATCCGCCAAAGCCAGCAAAGTCTGTTGCATCCTTAGCCTTCCAAAGTTTTGCCACAGCTCATGATCTTTGACACTTATCATCTCTTTTCCGCTACTCCTCTTGGGATCAAAATCGCGCCGTGCCCTCCACCTGTCAAACGTGACAACGTGACTCTTGCCTCCCATGTCTTTCATGTTGTTTCCATTTCTGTTTAAATCCTTTGTTGATTTTGTTGATTTCTTGTTCTGATTTGACAGGATATGACAGGATACTTTCTGCTATTTTCTGCCATCATCTGCAGAATGTGCAATGCGCAGCAGCTTTTGCAGCGTGAGGTCCGTCAATCCGTTGTTGAAAAATCCGACAAGGCCAAAAAGTCGGGTGCAGAATCACTCAGAATAATCTTGAATCCACTTCATCACAGATGGGAAAAGTAAAGTTCTGTTTGAAATGCAGGGTTCTTTCTGTTCTACTTGTCTGGACATACTTACTTTGACACGTTTTCAGACGCTGAGTTGAACATTTGCATATTCTAAGTGGCACATATCGCACCTCGTGTGACAGGTGTGCTTTGCATACGTTGCCGGCAAATGTGCATTTGGACGCCAGTGTCACGACAAGCATCCGGACGAGGCAGGATCAATGTTTTGTATATTTGTTTAGCATTTTGTATATTTGTTTAGTCTATTTTTATTTTTATTTAAGGACATTTTAGAACCGCCGCAACGTCAGTGGTGACTTGCAACACTGCTTGACTCGCATGGGGCAAACCAGCAATAAAGATTAAGGCTCAAATAAAGAGTGTATATGAGTTTATGATGACCAATGATTCAGGATGATTCAGGTAAAGAATGCTTACACAGGAAGAGGGCTTTCACGGCCGTGCTACCCACTGAAAAATCCACATGTGAGCTTTCCAAAGCGTTGGACATTGGATCTCCTAGATCCTAGCCAGGGCCCATGATTGAATCTCCCAAAGCTGAAGAGATGAAAAGCACGAAACGATCATGTTTTTGAGAAGGTTGCAGACGCCAAGCTTTTCCAAGCTTTTCCATGCCTTTCATGATCTTTCATGCATTTCAGCATCTCCGATCACATCAGTCACACGAGCAGCGTCTCCAGTCATGCCTTTCGGATCCTTTCGGATCCTTTCGGTATCTTTGTGTGAGGCTTCCTGCCTGACGATCAAGGAACGCTACAGCAAGATTGATTGCCAATGGGGCCGGAATTGCCGAACCGATGGGCCGGAACTCACAGCCGCATCTGAGACTAGACGAAGTACATCGAAGTACATCTTGTCAAGGCCAAGAACAACGCTCTTAGACATGGTTAGATACGGTTCGATACGGTTGTTAGCCTAACTTAGCTGATCAAATTGAACTGTTTGATGGAAGCATATGGTAGCACATGGTAGCACACTGTAAATGAATGTAAATGAATGTGAGTGGATTGTAAATGAGCTGAACGGAAAGAGATCTGAGCAATGGATGTGGAAAGAGAGAGGCCTTTGGGTCGTCCCTTTGGGTCGTCCCTTTGGGTCGTCCCTTGGGTCGTTCCTTGGGTCGTTCCTTTGGGTCGTCCCTTGGGTCGTTGCTCTCGTGCTCTCGTGCTCTCGTGCTCGCTGAGGTGCCTCTATCGGCATCCCAGCGACGAGCCTGTTGGTCCCGCACTCACGTTGGAGCTGAAGCCACAACCAGCGGTGCCTCGGCGAAGCTGGGCAGCTGGGCCAAGGTCGGCCAAGGTCGGCCAATTTGGCCAAATCGATTTGGAAAAATGCAATTGCAAAGGGCCAATCGATGGAGGGAATTGCAAATGCAAAAAATCGGAGGATTTTTCCAATTTCGATTGAACCAATCTCTTACGCATTTTCCAAATAGAAAAAATGTGGTGAAAATTTGTTTCGATCTCAGGTCTATGCAGCGGGATATCCGGTTGACAAAGTCGAGGCGAAAGTCGAAAGAGTCGAAAGAGTCGAAAGAGAACGAGAAAAGGACCGGGCCAGACCTGTTTCGACATGTTGGCCATCGCCATGTGTTGGGCGACGCCGAAGGCGAGGGTAAGGCAGAACCTCTCTTTTTAGCCTTGCATTGTGAGGGACACAGAAGAAATGAATAAAATCTGAATAGTGTCTGAATAGTCTGAATAGTGAAAGATGTGAAAGGTGGTGAGGCCATGTACTGAATAGCGAATTTCACGCGTCAGTGTTCATCAACTTTCAATTTTGTCGTGTTTGGGTGCACTACACAGAATATCACTTCACTAGTTCTTTGATGTTCTTTGATGTTCTTTGTATTTCTATATTCTTTGCAAACAGATTGTTGCCGCTGTTATCCTCCCAGTTGGGTCCACTGAAATTTATATCTAGTAGTAGTAAGACTAAAACTGTGATTGCAGATTATGGTCTTGGCCAGGGGTTTGGGACGCGAACGGGTGCTGGAATATGCTGGAATACTCTGGGCTATTTTCATGTGGGCACCATGGCATGTACCTTCTTCATCCCTTCAAATCCCTCACATTTCTGGTTGAGGACCGTGGTCCTGTTTCGCCACGAGAGCCTGACAAGAGCTCAGAGAACAAGGCGAATCTAAGGTTTCTTTATGTTTCTTTCTCGGCAAATTAGGCTTCCTACAGCTAGTTTTACGGTGGCTGGACATTGGACAGGGTGAGAGAATGTGAGAGAGAGGTTTTCTATGGTTTTCTTAGCTTTCTGCATCATGTCTATGATCCTATGACTAGCCCCAACCGCTGGAACACAAACATGGAATAACTAATTAGATCATATTAGATCTAACGAATGGGGATTCAACATGATTCAAAATGATTCAACTGTTCGTTCGATCTGAGGCACAGCAACTCCCAGTCAAGGTGCCACCATGGCAGAATACAAATGGAAATCGCTGAAAGGGAAACGGTATGAATTGCATATCAGACGAATGCATTCTGATGCATTCTGCACAGTCTATCATCAAGGCTCTGAAGTCTTCGAATGAAGCTCTTGAAGTCTCCCTGTCGTAAACGATTTATTTCGCTTTTTATTTCGCTTTTTATTTCGATGTATTCAGTTTGTGTTTCACGTTGTGTTTCACGTTTGAACGAGACTTTGAAAGACTCCACGGCCCCAAAACGAGACTTTGGTCAGGCTGAGAGGTCCATTGAACCGCACCATGGCATGGCCGTCGAACGACGTCACGAGGAGACAGAATGAACAGAACAGAATGAACAGAATTTAAATGATGTGGATTGCCAGGTTGGCTTCAGATGCTTTGCGTGGCAAAAGTCCATGGAAAATGCAAAGCAAAACGTCACTTTCTGCGCCAGGTTGGTTCCTTCTGTGGAGTCTTTCAGATTCTTTTAGACATATTTCAAAGCTGTCATGGTATGTCATAGTCTTGTCATGTCTTTTGTATTCTTTTGTCATTTTTGGTCTAGCAGAGTCTAGCAGAGTCTAGATATTACAAGCATTACCTCGTCAGGACCCCATCCAAGCCTTGGCAGAGCGGATGATTCCTGCAGGGAGTCTCAGTTGGTGACCCGGAGTTGAAGACTTGGATCTATCTGGATCTGGATCCGGGATGCTTAGATTGGCTTAGATTGGCTTAGATATCTTAGATCCCGAGGATGAAGTGAGATGAAATTATATGAAGTGAGGGTGAGTCGGATGGGAGATCATCTGAAATTCGGACGTTTTCCACATCACGCTGTGAATCTACGAATCTTACGAGCAATCTCTAGCAACGTGTTTTTTTTTCTCCATTTTCTTTCGATATTTTGATTCTGTCAATCGTGATTCATTTTGGTGTGTCAGTTGCAGGATGAAGAGGCCCAGGACGGACGGCCAAGTGTGATAGAGAGGTCATGGCAGCGACGTGAAGATATCACTGATATCACGTAGATTAATCTTAGATTACGTAGATATCACGTGAAAACGTAGACATATTAGGATTATATAGGATTATTAGGACTAGTCAATCGGGTCCAATTTTCAGGGAGAAACATGGGATGCCGAATGGGACATTGCAGCCGAATGGTCCGAATCTGAAGGAAGGGTCAAATTGGACGTCAACATGCGAAGCAGAACAGGATCACGGCAGAAATGTCGAGGAATGTCGAGGAATGGCAGGAAGTTGTTGGGTGTTACTTGCCTCGCATTCCTCGCATTCCTCGTCCTCGCTCCGTTTTGCGTGCACTTGTCCAGGAGCAGGCCAGACAAGAACAGTTGGCTGCTACACTTCGTTGTATGGGCTTTGATGAGGACAACTCGTGCAATTTTTTCAGCTGTGTTTGCAAGTCCTCAAAGATCGCGAAGTTTTTTTAAATCAGCGATTGTTAGTTTACCATAGTTTGCCTATAAGTAGCATAAGTAGCCTACACTAGCGTTGCAAATCCCGTTGGTTTCGGTTTCTGCAGGATTTGCAAGCAGTGCATCGAGCAGATGGGAATTTGAACAGAGCTGTTGCTGCCTGAGATATGATGAAATGATATGAAATGATATGAAATGATATGTGCTCCGCAAGATGTCTATCTTTGACGTCAAGTAGGGACGGTCAAAGGGCCAGGTGGATGTCGCAGGATGTCGCAGGATGTCGCAGGTCCATGCTGGTCCGTTGAAGCTCTCATGAAGAGGTTTTTTTTTTTTATGTTGTTTTCTTCTCCGCGAAAATCAGAAAGGTAGGTCTTCGAGTCAGATGTAAGTTGTCAGTTGTCATGTTTGTGCCCCAGATTCCCTTCTGATGTCACTGGTGTTTGTAAGTATGTATATATAGTTATATATATATAAATACTGTGACATGCAATAAATATATGTACGTATATATATATATATATTTGTATCTTCATGTTTTGGACCGTCCTTTTAAGAGATCTCACAAGCGGTTTTTTTTCCAACCTGCGTTGATGCTCCTGAGGTGGACGACTTGCTACGTGACCCAACAGCGTGACAAAAAAAAGGGCTCAGCACTCCCAAGGAGAACAGACTTCAAACATTTCATGGCCGAAATCATGGCAGAAACGCTGGAATCTGCCAGGTGAATCTGTAAAATCAGAACTTTGTTTATAGTTCTTTCATGTTCTACCCTTTGCCGGCTGGTGCCGCCACACTTCCCTTTGGAAAAAAAGATAACTGTTTTAGTAACACTGAGCAGCCTTTGCCTTTGGCGTTTCAAATGCCATTGCCAAATTGCAGGCAACAAATTACAGGACTCGTTGCAAGACGTTGTAAGTATCTGTAAGTTGCGTTGGTTGTTTCACGTGTTGTTTCACGTGTTGTTTCACGTGTTGTTTCACGTGTTGTTTCACGTGTTTCACGTGTTGGTTGGTGTGTTTGTAGGTTGCCTTTAGGTTGCCTTATGTTGCCTTGTTGTCAAAATTGTCCTTGCCCCGGTGATTTTCGAAGCAGCACGGTACACGGCGTCCGGGCTCCGGGCGCTGGGCGAGGGCGGCCGAAGGCGCCACGTCGTGAGAAGCACAGTTGCGACACGACGACACGACGACAAGATACGTCAAGATACGTCAAGCGACACACGCCAGGCGACACGTCAGTGACACGTCAAACCCAAGACGTTTATAGACGTTTCCCGTCAGGTTTTCACATCACATCTTTGTTTTCAACAGATGTTTCGGCAACGCCAAATGCCGAGTCCCAGAGGTTTCAGTTGTCTAGTTGTCTGGATGGCCGGTGTTTCTACTGATTCTCATTGATTCTCATTGGTTCTCATTGACTCATTGCAAGTCTTTGAGTCTCTTCTACCCCAAGTATCTTGCGATCTCAGGTGATGGGGGATTCCAAGGAGCCTTTGGGTGCTGAAGCTGTCAGGATTTGTTGGAAACACCCATTTCATCCAGTTTCATCCAGTTTCATCCAGTTTCATCCAGTTTCACCTACCTTCCAGTTTAGGTGGTTTTGAATAAATCATACTTGTATAATTATTAGATGACCATGATATCTAATTTACACACATACTCCATCTATGCGTAATATAACTTTACATGTCATATATGACATATAATATCATAGTATATGATATAGTGTGTGTGTGTGTGGGGGGGGGTAGCTGGACAAGTCTGTTTGGGGACAAAGATCGCAGAAGGAATGTGTGCTTTCATTCAGATCTGCAGTTTCAAGACAAAGAGGGACATGGAGTCATGGAGCGATTGCTACGGTGGGCTACAAAGTTGTGCAGGATGACAGCAGCTTTTCCCCACCGCCCATGGCAGAGCTTGGGAACTACAAAGGTGTTATGCTTTGCAATCGTCTGGATCTTAAGACACTTCTGAGCTTCTGTCAAAGATGCAGATTCTGGTTGCCTTTGCCACTTTTGTCGGACTCCTTTTGGATCGGTTTTCCGTGTTTTCTAAAGTTTATATTGTATATACATACATATGTCTATGTACATATATAAAGATATATACACGTATATATACATATATATATATAGATAACATTTAAAGAACCATCTTCTCTTTGGGATTTTTTCCGGCGGAATCCTTGCGGCCCAAGGCCCAACTGCCATGGATGCCTTAAAGGTGGAGCCGACGAAGCCCTTTCGTTCTGCCATCCCAGCAACCGCCCAAAACTTAAAACGAGCAAAGCCGAACACGAGCCGAACATGAAAAGGAGAGCCAAAACTTGCTGCAGAAAAGGAACTCTGTTAATCTCTGTTATGTTCTGTTGTTTCTGTGAAAACCCGGCAGAGCTAAAAGCAGAGCTTGTAGTTCCACCGTGCTCCACTGTGCTCGACTACTCCCAGTCCTGAAAGCAAACGATCAGTTTGAGAACGCTCATGACAATCTCATGACCATTTGCATCCGTTCCCTGTTCTTAAAGAGTCAACCATCCAACTTGACGATCCTAATGTTATCTTGATATATCTTGATGATGTTGTAGGTTTTCTCTTTTGCCATGCAGCTATCCCTGATATTTCCATGTTGACCGAGACTCTTTTACACATTTTTTAAATCTTTGTGCTGTGCGACTCTTTCTGGATTTCTCTCTGTACGACCCCCCTGTCAGGGTGTTTGTCAAACTGATCCACTATGATAAAACAAAAAAATGCATTTTTTGAATACTTACGATAAACTTGTGACAAACATCTGAATACATCTGATATTTCTCAGAACTTCTCTAAACATGTGATATCTTGTGATATTTCTCCATACCAAGGTGGGAGATGCGTTGGGTTTGATTCGAAAGAGACCGCATGCGACACATGAAGTGAAGAAGCGTGGTCCGAGTGCCGCCTTGCGACGCCACTGCCGATGGATCAAGGACAGCGAAGAAATGCAAGGCCGAGAGCAAAAAACGAATTGCAAAAAAAAACAACGAATTTAATCGAATTTAATGAATCATCTCGAATCTCTTGTTTTCTTTTTAAATTTCTCTGGCGCCCTTGCCACAGATAACCGTGCAATTTGGTTCCTTTCGTGTATTGTTGGGGTTTGGGTTGGATTCAATGATGGTTGAGACATGTCGGATCATGTCGGATCATGTCGGATCATTCCATCATTCATCCGGCAAACTTTGTCTCGTTACGATCCCAGCCGTCTACGGCGTCTACGGCACGGCCGTCCACGGAAATCCAAAGCCGGTGACTTTGACGACCGCCCAGTACTCGACAGGGCGATCTCGCCTCGGCTTGGGTCATCTGCCCGACGCCACCCAGTAACAGGTGGTAGGTATAGGCTAAGGATGGCCAAGGTAAACGTAGGTAAACGTAGGTAAACAGAGGTATAGGGTAAACAGAATTCAACAGACAGAGATACAGAATTCTAGAATTTTCCGGTCGGATTCCAAACAACTCAGTACTTCGTCATGCTTCGCATCCATGCTTCGCATCCATGCTTCGCATCCATGCTTCGCATCGCACCTAGATGGTCCAATTGAGCTTGGCATAGCACCGCGTCACCACGCAACTTGATATTGTTCTCTCGGAACGCATGGTTCCAGTTGCTTGCTGTCCTAGAGCATGGAGCTCTGTTTTCTTCAAATGGAACGATCACAGATGGACAATTGTCTCATGGCACGACTTCAATTTGTTGCTCAAGGCGTGCAGTCGCAAGGTAGGCTGGCTGTTTCAGCATACCCATTCGGAACACTTTGCCCAAGACGCACAGTCGCAGCTTTTGTATGCTGTTGTTCTATGTTCCACGTTCAACCGCAAAACCGAAATTCAAACCTGTTTGGTGGGACAGTTGCAGTTGGGGCATGCAAAGGCCATGAGCAAGTTCGGTTCAGTGAGTTTTAGATTCTATAGATGTCACGAAAGCTAGCTTCTGCTAGCTGAAGTCCCTCTTGCTTTAGCAAGGTATTGGAGGGATGGAATCTCCAATCGCGAGAAACTTCTCAGTTAACTACCCCCCCCCCATCCCCTCCTTTCACAAGCAGTTTGGTCGTGGGCTCAACCCCTCCCGGGACACGGTCAGCAACAGCACCGGCACGATCACTGGTATCCACCCTCTACACTTCGCACTCTGGAGTCCACACTTCACACGCTAAACTTTACACTCCATACTTTACACTCTAAACTTGACGCTTTACACTTCACACTTCGCACTCCGCAGTCCACACTTTACACCCACTCTGTACACTTGGCACTCCACACTCTACTTTTACACGTGGCACTCACACTTTAAGGTTTACGCTTTCACACTTTCCACTGTATACTTGACTTTGGACCCTCACAACTTTGCCCTTATCACACTTGACGCTGTATGGAACCTTGGCCTTGCTCCATTTTCATCCATTTTCATCCATTTTCATGTTGCGTGCGCCGTGCGCCGCCTCGCACTGCGTGACGTCTTCCCGCGCTTCCAAAGGTCCACTCCGGTGCCGAAGGTGGACCTTTGAATTTTCCTGACTCAGTTGTCATGATCTTGTCTATGCTGAATGTTGACAATCATATGTTCTCAAAAATTGTGCTTACACTTGCGCTACCTTCTGTGTTTCATGCCCATCACCCTGCCAAGCTAGCTTTCGTCCCTTGCCCCTTGCTCAAGTTCTTTGCAGTCTGTGTTTTCCAAAGCTATGCGCACAGCATTGTTTCGTTCTTGGAAAACCATGGGACATGTAATGGAAAGAACTGGAAAGAACTGTGACTGGCAAACTGTGGAACATCCTTGCTGAGCTGTCGCTGGCTGTCGCTAACTGCTGCTGTATCCATGTTTCTCCGTGGATTTTTGAAGGAGCTGCAGCAACAGGTAGCAGAGGAAGCCCAAGTGGTTGAGCACGAGGAGCTGGACAAATCAAAAGTGATCAACGGGGTCCCCAAAGGGGTCCCCAAAGGGGTCCCCAAACGATCACCAAACCGACGTTCACTGGGACTCAGTGGGACTCAGTGGGACTCAGTGGGACTCACTGGGAGGAGATCGAACGTGATCGACGGCAACGAATCCAAAGGGAGGCACATGATGGCACATGCAGAGAATTGCAGAGAGGGATGTTCCTTGACACAGCATTGAGAGCTGCAGTGGATGTTTTGCAGTCGCATCTCTACGTTCGTCCTGTTTCAAGTGAGAGGTCTTCCGGAAGCAACGGGATGCCATCCGCCTCATCAAATTGAGCCTGGAAGTCAGATGCAAGGATCAAAACACGGCCCTAACCGTGGCCCTCACCACGAGCATCGCAATTTACGATGTGCCATGCTCTGTGCATTGCATCATTGCACCACAAAGGCAAAGGCTGAGAGGCATGAGAGGCAAAGGCAGATGGCAACAACGAAACGAAATGCAGATGGCGATGGCCGCGATGGCAACGAAAAGCGAAAGTACGGACTTCGCCATTCGTGAGTTCTTTTCGCTCTGAGGCCATGCCGGCGCTGCGGAGGACTTGACCTCAGTCCTGAACCCCAAGGACGGACACGGTCGGATTTGGCTTCATCTAGCGACAATCGACAAAATGTGACAAAATTATAGACAAAAGCATTGATAAGCCACATTAATTATGCGACATTGCAAATATTCCAATTATTCCTGCCGAAACATGGCGTATCATTGCGTATCATTGCATTTTGTCTTTTCACTTCGCAGGCGAAAGGCGCATCCAAGCCGGTGTGGGCAATGACAGAAGGAGAAAAGGAGGACTCGGACTTTCGTCAAAGTTCCTGACGTTTACTGAATATGATTGAATAATAATTTGAATAATATCGAATATGTATCTTGATGTATCTTGATGTATCTTGATGTATCTTGCAATAGTATCTTCATGCATCTTCATCTTGTACGATCGTGACTGTTGGTGGCTTGAAGGGTAACTGAGGGACTCCATGGGAGTCCTGGAGCATCTGAGGGCTCATGGCAGATAACCTGCCAAAAGTTCACTCGGATTCCAGGCTTTTCGTCAAGACATTTCGTCAAGACATTTCGTTCATACTCGTTTGTGATCTTTCATGTTTGCCATGGCATTGCATTTCATTGCATGCCTTGCATGTTTGATGCTTTGCAATGGCAGGTTTCAAGTGTCAAGAGTGTCGAGAGTGTTTGCGTGTCAAATTATATGCAAAAAAAAGGCAAGGCAAAAAAACATCAGGAACATGGAGGAACATGGAGGAACGAAGGAACAGATGCTGATACAGAATGAGACATGACTGACATGACTGACATGGCTGACATGACTGACATGGCGACAGGAGCAAGAACAGATAGACTTTGGTCAACTCATCAACTTTGTCGAAGACCTGGACTACGACGAGTGCGCACTGGCAGTTGATCGTCTTGATCCTTGCCTCACAATGATTTACGACAACCAGAAAAGACACGAAAATTTCATGAAAAGAACCATTGTGACATATTGTGACTACCACTTTCAGAAATCAACGATATCAACAATTTGCAGTTGCACTATGTTGCGCTATGTTGCACCTGAAATATGTCGAGATTGCACTGGATGTGCATCGCAATGTGCATGTTGTGAAGGGTTTGGTATAGGTTGGCCATCGTCCAGGCTGTCCAGGCTGCCCAGGCTGTCCAGGCAGGTATTTTTTCTAATTTTTCAGGTACATCCATGATTTGGAATTCCGAGAATGTCTTCAAGCTGTTACAGACAGAGCAAGAAGACTGCAGCGTGAGCAAGAAGCCTTCAAGGCACAACTCTCGACATAAACAATATGAACCATATGAACAATGAATGAATGACATGAATGAAATGAATGAACGTGACAGGCCTAAGAGCATGACACTGGACATGACGGATATGAACAGATAAGATTCGCAAGGTAGGATATCATAAGATATCATAAGTTTGCATGTCAGCATATGTAAATATGCATGAAGAGTCAATGCAGATCATCCATGATCATGAGACACCGTATTTGCATGTATTCGCAACGATATGCGCTGTTTGTGTTGGCGATGTGCTGAATTTTCTCTTAAGACGGTTCCAAAGACGGTTCCAATGTGTTGACATTTTTTCGGAGGATTCGTTGCTGCAAGAGCTGAATCAAGAAACGAATGATTCGCCCTCGGAACGTTTGGAGGACCCGGGTAGATTCGGATAGATCCGGATAGATGCCATGGATGCGTCGTTTGATATATGTTTGACATGCGTTGACATGTATTTGATATGCATCGTTTGGGAATGCCACCCCTAGAGCCCTCGAGATGCATGGAATGCACCTGAAGTCTATATTGCAATCAAATGGAAAGCAGAGAAAGACAAGCCACAACAGGTCCTTTTTCGACGATTCGAGACCCTTGCTTTTTCTGAACAAAAGACCATGATGGTTTAAAACCTCTAGTCATCTTTTTCCAAGATGGTTTTCCAAGATGTCTTTTGTTCCATGATGTTCATGTACATTCCATGTACATTCCGCACCCTTCAAAGGAGGCGGTACCTGAACGATCGAATCTGAACGATCTGAACGAACGGCCGGAGTGGGTCGGAGCCTCTGACCATGCGGAAGGCGTCCGAAGTTGACATGATGAATAAATACATAACTTATGACATAACCTGTGACATAAACAGATATCAACAGATAATCAACAGGTATCAGGTATCAAGAGCCAGCATCGAGGAATCCAACAGGAAATTGAACAGGAATCCAACAGGAATTGTTTGATTTGATGAATTTGATATAATTTGATCATTCGATGATAAGCCGATGTTACGCGTTGCAGCGTTGCGGTCTGTTCCGCGTGTTTCAGCTCCTTGGCTGAGGATGCTGCAGCACCCCAGGTGCGGAGTACCGGCACAAGGGCTGTACAGCCGTCATTTCGTTTGGTTCTGATGGCTCCGTTTTCATCTTTTTTTCTACCACATAGAGAGATCATTAGAGATCATTAGAGATCTACCCTCTAGTAATTTAACATAGCTATTGAAAATGGCCCATCTATAATGGATTTTCCCATTAAAAATGGTGATTTTCAATAGCTATGTTAAATTACCAGAGGGTAAATATTATAAATATTAGTTTTTTTCCCGACTCCGAACACATGATGTGTGACCTTGCTGAAGTGACGGCAGCATATGTAGCATTGATCCAATTGATCCTACAGTGGGGTGACAAATGTGACACGAGGTGACAAAGATGTGCAAAATGGCAACACCCAAACCATGCAAGCGCCATGCAAAATGGTTCCTATGCGCTCCTTCACTTGCCTTCAAGCACACAGCAGCACACATCCTTCACACATGAACTGCATTCACTTGCTCAATTTTGTCGGCACATTGACAACATTTGACAACTCACCAAAGCGCAGCGAAGTTCAAAATTTGTCGCTTTTCACTGAAGTTCAACTTGTTCATCTCTGCTTTTCCAGGATTCGACCGCGAAAGCCTTGGCTGAAAAAGCCTGGCAGGACAGCAATTCCATGGGAATATTCGGAATATTACAAGAACATACGAGAAAACGCAGTTTGGCAGTTTGGCATATGTAGTTTTGACATGTTTTGCTATATTTTGACATCCCCATGCTTTCCATGCCTGGTCCGAACTGTTCCCATGTTCCCCCCCCTGCAGGTCGGCACCTTGATACTCCCACAGTAAACAAAGAATGACTGAATGACCTTGACTCCCTTGAATTTGATAAACTTGAATCATTTTGTTATTTTTGTTGCCTTTCTTATTGTTCATAAGTGAACAAGTGCCAAACAACAAGTTCAACAAGTTGCAGTGTGGTGACGTGGATGAGCACGACAAATTGCATGGCCCAAAGGCTGAGCAAAGCACCATGGTGTTGGACGGTGATCCGTTGACCAACGATTTGAAGATTTCACGAGACCAAGAATTGAAGGGACAATGAAGGGACAGTGAAGGTGACCCAGGTGCGCCAAGGGACGCTGACAGACGTCACGATGGAGACATGGTGCGCTGACGAGTCGTGCCGCGGGACAGGGTCAGACGGTCGCTCAACGACTGTGGGTGAACGAGAACGACAACAAGCTTCAACAAGCTTCAACAAGCTTCAACAAGGACAATGCAGCAACACTCCGTGTCACAGGTCGTCGGCGCCGATCAGGAGGGCTGTGCTGGCTATGCAGTAGGAGGATTGCGCGCGCATTTTCTACTGAAGCCTCCTTCTCCTACTACTGCAAATTTCTCCAAAAAATCATGAACGTAAAACCTTTCTTTCCCTGCTCTATTCACAAGGGTTTTGTCATTCCCATACACTTTTTATCCTAGGGTTGCTCATCGTGGGCATTTGGGGTGCCTTCACTACAGTACCTATATGAACGCCCTCACAAACAAATATATCCCTCGTCCTCTTTGCTAACCTTTGTTTTCCCCTTTCCCTTCCATCTAGTGACCAATGAAAACACGTCCATGAAGACGGTGCAAGTGATGAGTGATGTGACAGTGACGGTGATGTGACTTCCTTGTATTTCCTTGTGCTTCTTATGATTTTCATGTGATTCTCAGATTCTTGCGTCGTGTTTCGCTCTCAGGAGGGCCCCTTTAAGGCTGTCCGGGCGCCCAGTAACACATGACATGAGCAGGTCACGGTGCACGTCATGGTACATCTTACACCTTCACCAGCAAGGCCAATGAAACATATCACAGATGCGAAGTCAACAAATTCAACAGAGATCATTTTTTTTTTTTAACACACCATTTGAATGTTGGAAATCGGAATTTAATTTATGACATGATGTTTTTGTATTTACAGTTCATGCTGCGCATGAACCATATGAAGCTACACCGTGTCATTTTGGACTTCAAGCATCTTTTAACACTTTTCAAACTATTTTTCCGGTAACTTTGAAGCTTATGCTGGTCATTGCCGTCGTGTCATTCGAGGTGTTGATATAGGTTTGTGATATGGGTTTGATATCGGTTGATATGGATTGACGCGGTTTGTTGTTTTTTGTTTTATTTGTGCTCATTTCATTGCTCAACTTCTCTGTTTGAATTCAGGTGCATTCAAAGACTTCTCTGAGAAAAATTGCTGAGAGGGAATGCAACTGAAGTGAAGGAACCAGACACCTGAAAACACCTCACCTGACAGCAGGCACACACACACACACTTGATAAACACAGACATAGGCCAAAATGGACAACACATACGCTAACATATACACAACTTGTTTCTCTTGAGTCATGAGTTCTCATGCAGTGTTTAACAGAACTGGGCAAATGGTTTCAAACACAAATGGACATCCCACTTTTAGTCTCTCTGTTTCACACCATGTTTCACAATTGACGACATTGCGCGAATGTTTGTGCTTGCGCTGGGCAATCACAACGCCGATTTCTCAAACGTTTTTGCTGGAACTGAGCACCAAAAACATCCAAAAACTGTGACACAATGTGACACATTGAGACCTTGCAGGAAATCCTGGCCCCGTTGCTGGCTCAAGTGGCGACGCAATGGCTGAAGAGGATGAAACGCCTACGCCCACCACCCTTCGCCAGGTGGGTTTCGGAGGTGTTGAGAACAAGTTTTGAAATGTCTATAATGTCTCTGGTGGTTTTGGAAGCAGAGGGTGCCAAGGCGAATGTATCTGGGGGGGCAACTGCCGAGAATATCGTCGAAATCTGACAAAAACGATGATTTTCAACAAAAAGTTGGGAAGCGCTGATCTCTTTATACATTCTTTTTACATTGGTAGAACAATGTAACACCTGGAAAAAACCAATGAGGACAGCTCAATGCGTGGAACCAGGACAAATCTCTGAGCTCAGCCTGTGGGGTCTGACAGGTGATGTGGGACGGGCAGAAGCACTTCTCAAGGCAAGGCCCAAAGACAACTAGACTTAACTAGACAGCATAGACCACGTCCATCGACATCCAATATTTCCAATGGAATCTCCAGGATCTCAACAATGCTTCATACATCTTCAGACATCTCAAAAATGCAAGATTCAGACCATGGCAACGGAGAGAAGAATGAGAAGACACAGATTGACAGGAGTATGGCAACGCATTGTATTTTGAAATGGATTCACCTGGAATACGCATGGTAAATACATGCAGCTGCAGATTGCAAGAGCTTTTCTAGCGCGCATTTGCACATTGCCCTGTCGAAGTCCGATCCTCCGATCCCTGAGGTCCCTTCCGTGCGACTCAGATGGCTCTCTATTGTGTACAGAGGACAACTGTAGCAACAACGGCATGGAAGACATCATGACAGATCACGACAGATCACGACAGCATCAATTGAATCAACTTGATCAATATCGTCTAATATCGTGAATATCGAATAAAATATTGATCAACTGATTGTCAGTTGATCAATTAGCATAGAGTTCGTACGAGTCAAATGGTGTCAGGGTGATGTCTTCTCCAAAGGTCAAGTGGCGTAAATATGGTCAGCTTTTTTTTTGTCTTAGAAATTTTTTGAAGATTGGAACCACGACTTTAGGGACGAACTTGCGCAAGAAAGTACAGGAAAGTGCAGAGGTATTTTCACCCACATGGTTTTGCAGACTCTCCACTTTCCGCACCTCTTCCTTTCCTCCCCCTTGCTGCCCTTTCCTCCCCCTCCCTGTTTGTGCGAAATGAAAACCCGTACTCAGTACGAGACAACATACAACATAGAATAATGATATCACTCTTGCATGTATATGTACATAATTATATATATATATTATACACATACATACATACGCATACATGTACATATCTACATGTCTACACGTGTGTTTAGATATAGTGACATATATGTATACATGAGAATATAAAGAAATATACATACATATACATACACATGTCTGATCGAAGAAAGTTTAGAAGTCAAACTTCCGACAGTATGGACAGATGGAAAAGCAGAGGTGGGGAGTCAGAGAAGAGAAAGGAAGAAGAAAGATGCAGGTGCGCGAAAAGGTAGAACAGTTGTGAAACACTGTGTTTTCCCAAGGTTTTGTGGGCCCGGAGGGTCGAAAAGTGGGCTTGCTATAGCGGCGGGCTCGGAGCCATCTGGTTGCATGAGAGATCAAAAATTGCATGCTGCTGTGGCGCGAAGCGCGTTTTGAAGTCACAATGCTAAAACAACTTGTTCACAGCATTTTTGGACGTTCAACCGCACCACACTAGACGACGATGACGATGACGACGACGACGACGACTACTACTACTACTACTGATGCTGCTACTGCTGCTACTACTACTACTGATGCTACTTCTGCTACTGCTACTATTACTACTACGGCAACAACAACAACAACTACTACTGCTACTAGTAGTAGTAGTAGTAGTAGTAGAAGTAGTAGAAGTAGTAGTAGTAGTAGTAGTAGCAGTAGTAGTAGTAGTAGTACAACTACGACTACAACTACAACTACAACTACAACTACTATTGCTACTTCTACTACACGCCTACTACTACCACTGCCACTACCACTACCACTACGATTACAACCACCACCGGCACTACCACCATTACCGCCACTACCGCCACTACCACCACTACCAGCACTACTACCATTACTACCACTACTACCACTAGTACCACTAGTACCATTAGTACCACTAGTACCAGTAGTACCAGTAGTACCACTAATACCACTAGTGCTACTAGTACCACTGGTACTACTCTCGTACCATTAGTGCCATTAGTGCCACTACTAGCACTAGTATCACTATATCCACTAGTACCACTAGGACCACTAGCACCACTAGTACCAAGACTTCCACTACTACCACCAACGACAACGACAACGACAACTACAACTACTGCCACTGCTGCTGGCGAACAACTCCCACTACAACTACACTTATTATTACAGTACGCTACATTGCACCACACTACAGCTACATCTCCACTACGCTAGACTCGACTCCACTCCACTGCGCTACACTACCAGGACCACTACCACTACAACTGCAGCAACAACAACAGCAACAACAACAACAACATCAGCAACAACAACAACTACAACAACAACAGCAACAACAACAGCAGCAACAACAACAGCAACAGCAACAACAGCAACAACAGCTACTAAAGCTACTAGAAATGCAACCGCAACTACAACACCAACTGCAATTACCACTACATTACATTGCACTACCCACCACATCACACGACACCGCACTGCACTACACGTACACCTATACCTACAACTACGACTACAGCCACCACTGCACTACAGCTACAGCTACCACTAACGCGCAAAGCGGCGGCGGAAGTTTCATAGATAGATAGAGGTTGGTTGTTGTGAATTTTGGATGGCAGAGCGAACCCTGATGGATCGAAAGGTTGCTGGAGCGTCGGGCTATCTATGTATCTATCTATCTATCTATTTATCTATCTATCTATCTATTTATCTATCTATTTATCTATCTATCTACCTATCTATCTATCTATCTAGCTATTTGCCTGTCTATCTATCTATCTATCTATCTTTCTTTCTTTCTTTCTTTCTATCTATTCATTTGTCTACCGATCTGTCCGCCTATCTATCTGTCTATCTATCTACCTATCTCTCTATCTGTCTACCTGTCTGTCTATATGTCTATCTTACCTGTCTATCTGTCTATCTATCTGTCTGTCTTTCTGTCTATCTATCTTTCTTTCTATCTATTTGTATATCTATCTGTCTATCTATTGATCTGTCTATCCGGCTATCATGCAAGCTTGGAAACGAGTTGAAAAAGAATCTATTCTGCGAGACTTGCTGGAAGTTGAGAGCTGAAAAATTGAGCTTTTCTTGCCAAACTTCCTTCCAATGTGGAAGCTGACAACTTCAAAAACGCAACACTTCTGCGAGTCTTCCTTCAAAATGGATGTTCACAGCGCCGAAAGGAGGAAATTCTGCGAGACTTCCTCAATTTATTGAATTGACAACATCAAAAACGAAGCAATTCTGCGAGACATCGTTCAAAAATGTAAAGTTGAGTGCTGAGCTGACAGCCTCGTACCAATGCGTTTTGCGATTTTTCCACTCCATCTGTCTAAAGTACTGCGCCTGCCACGAAAAAGTGAGGCCAAGTCATACGAAGTGCTGCACATGTCACGCAAAATCATCTTAGCAAACTTGACGATCTGATGCTCCAAAACGCAAATCCCAACTTTCAAATGTGCTCCGGACGTGGGGTGTTTTTGCGCATTTTGACTTCGAAATGTGCTTCGCGCCACACCGCCGTGCACTTTCATTTCTCATCTGACCAGACGGCTCCGCACCCGCCGCTTTAGCGAGCCTACTTTTCGACCTTCCGCCCCATAACATTGGAAACGCAGAGTGTTTCGCGACTTTTCTACCTTTCGGCGTGCCTGCATCTTCCTTCTTCTGACTCTTTCTCCGCTCTGTCTCTTCCCACCTCTGCGTTTCCATCTGTCCACAGTATTATTATCGGAAGTTTGACTTCTAAACTTCCTTCGGCACCTACAACTACAGCCACACCTACACCTACACCTACACTTACACCTACACCTACACCACGCTACACCTACACCTACACCTACAACTACACTACGCTACACTACAGCTACAGCAACAGCTACAGCAACAGCTACAGCAACAGCTACAGCAACAGCTACAGCTCCACTACACTACAACTACAACTACAACTGCAACGGTGACTACAACTACAACTACACTACACTTTTTGCACTACACTACATTGCATTATGCTACACTACACTACAACTACAGCTCCACCAAGCTACACCCGCCTCCATTGCACTACACTACAGTAATTACATCACACTGCGCTACAGCTACACTACACTACACTACGCTACGCTACGCTACAGCTACACCACAGCTACACCATAGCTACACCACACTACATCTGGCACTTGTGGGTGAGGTGACCGCTGCAACCACTCCAAGAAATACAGCTCCAACCACCTGTCGGTCCATCAGTGGATTCGCTCTGCCTTCCATGCATCACAACAACTCACCTCTCCTATAGTTTCCTCTCTGAAACTCCCGCCGCCGCCTTGTGCGGTACTATTGGCATATCGATACATGCACACATTGTCCATCTTTGAATTTATTTCGCCGTGTCAATCAGTTGGTCTTAGCATTTTCTGTTGTTTCTGGTTTTTAGCCAGGAGTCCTTCGAAGGCTCCGATGAGGTGCCCAATGGTGCCCATTTCTTGGTCCAGTTCCTCCTTTTTGGACGACAAAGACGGAGATGGACAGACATGACCGCGAGACATGGCAGAGACGCGGCAGAGACGTGACAGAGACGTGCGTGGCAGAGACATGACAGAGACGTTTCAAAGACGTGGCAGAGACGTGGCAGAGACGTGGCAGAGACGTGGCAGAGACATGGCAGAGACGTGGCAGATACATGGCAGAGACATGACAGAGACGTGGCAGAGACGTGGCAGAGATGTGGCAGAGACGTGGCAGAGACGTGGCAGAGACGTGACAGAGACGTGGCAGATACATGGCAGAGACGTGACAGAGACGTGGCAGAGACTTGGCAGAGACGTGACAGCCAGGGACGACAGGGAGGTGGTGGGGATGTGGCAGAGTGACAGAGACGTGGCAGAGCGTGGCAGAGACGTGACAGAGACGTGGCAGAGACCTGGCAGAGACGTGGCAGAGACGTGACAGAGACGTGACATGGACGTGGCAGAGACGTGGCAGAGACGTGACAGACAGGGACGACAGGGACGTGGTGGGGATGTGACAGAGTGACAGAGACGTGGCAGAGCGTGGCAGAGACGTGACAGAGACGTTGCAGAGACAAGACAGAGACGTGACAGAGACGGCGTGACAGACCGGACAGTTGTCACGTGCAGCTTGGGGTGCTTCGGAGAGATTCTGGAAGACCATTTTTTTTCAAAGCACGTGCCATCTGTAATTTTGTGGAGGGTTGTGTAGTAGGCATGGTTTGTTTTACTTTGTATAGCACGCAAATTGTAGATTATTGATGTATTGTGATCCATTCCGGTGCATACTGTGCCATCCTGTATTGTGCAAAAAAGTTTTTGTTTTTGCCAATCTGAAGCTGCAGAGAGTTTCAGCTCTGCAGAAACTGCTGGCCATGCTCGGCGACATGGCCAGAGGCGACCCTGAGCAGGCGACACGCATCCCCGTGCATTGAATAAGTTTTTTTGATCTTTCAGGATCCTTTTGGGCTATTTATTGATTCTTTCCGAAAATTATGGAGCCAAAACAGCAAGATCAAAGCATTGAAGGCGATCGCGGTGGCAGAGTATTGAAACACATCGGAAACAGTTACAGCAAACGAACAACAGCGAACACCAACGGTCTACAGAACTGTCGCACCAGGGTTGAGCTCAGTCAACTTTCGGAACAGCCTTCATATTCCAGGACGCTCCTTCTCGTGTTCTGTTGGACGAGTGTGGAGCGCTGTGGGAAGAGGTGACCCATGTGAAGACAGGAAAGGGATCGCCTTCTGAAACATGGGGCAACACGGCAACATGGCCAGATTCTGATAGTATTTGAGGGTGATTTTAGATTGTGATTTTGGAGGGCTCGACGGCTTGAGGGGGTTCATTGGTGTTAGCAGTACAGCTTTGAACGGCCCCCAGGTTAACCCAATTTGCTTTCAGCACAGTCCTTGCATAGTCATTCTACAACAGAAATGGAGACCGAGTGGACCAGGTAGAGCTCTACACTTAGGTGGTCCCACAAGCAGACAAGAAAGCTCTGGAGCGCTGAGCAACACAAGACCATTGATGATGTTGGAGTAAATAGTTAAATGGTAATGATGTACACACATTTACATCTTCAAACACATACTACATATACATCCATAGATACGTACATATGTGCATATGTGCAAATGTACACACGTACACGCGCACACGCGTACACACGTACATGCATACATACATACATACATACATACATACATACATACATACATACATACATATACATACATACATACATACATACATACATACATACATACATACATACATACATATACATACAAACATACATACAAACCTGCATAAATCCATACACACATACATACATCCATCCACCCACCCACCCATCCACCCATCCATCCATCCATCCATCCATCCACGCATACATACAAACATGCATACACATGCATGCACGCACACACACACACATACACGCATACACGCATACACACATGCGCACATACACACATAGATACATAGATACATAGATACATACATACAGGCAGACAACCAGACGGACAGACAGACAGGCAGGCAGACACACACATACGTAGATACATCACATACACTACATACGTTACATGCATTATATACAGTACATTCATTGCATACAGTACACACATTACACACATAACATACAAAACATAATTTAACATTATATTTCATTACGTAACATACATATAAAGGTACATCCGTCCATCCATCCACCCATCCTTCCATCCACCCATCCTTCCATCCAGCCACCCACCCATTCCATCCATTCACCCATCTATCCATCCACCCATCCATCCATCCGTCCATCCATCCAAACATCCATTTATGCAAACATCCATCCGTCCATACATACATATATCTACACACATTCATACATACACACATAAAAGCATACAAGTACATACAGTTTCGTACTGTTTCATACAGCTACATACAGTTACATGCAGTTACATACAGTTGCATGAGGTTACATACAGTTACATACAGTTGCATACAGTTATATAAGTTATACACGGTTGCATATAGTTACATACAGCTACTGCATGCACGCATGCCTGCATACCTACATACCTACCTACTTACCTACCTACCTACCTACCCACCTACATACCTACCTACCTACATACCTACATACCTGCATACCTACATACCTGCATACCTACCTACCTACCTACCCACCCACCCACCTACCTACCTACCTAATTACCTATGTGCATACATGCATGCATGCATGCATGCATGCATGCATGCATGCGTGCAAATTTTTACAGGTATGCATGTTTCCCGGCTGGTTTTCGGAACACAGCTCCAAAGGTCATTGCATCCAGTAGATTTAGGAGCTTCAAAATATTTGAACGAGAGGGCTCAGAACATTTCGCGCTTTCGAACTGTTTACGGAAGCTTGCAAGGTACACACTGAGGCAGAGGCCAGGGCCGAAAACAGATGCAGAATCCAAGTGAGAACTGGCGAAAGGCCAATCGCTTCAGATTTAAGTTCTCTGCGTTTCCTTGAGACAAGAGGCACTGGAGAGGAATGTAGAGGGGCAAATCTCACCAGGACAGAACATGAAACCAACTTGGTACTTTTTGTGTCCGTTTCTCAACATTTCTCAATTTTGTAACTTGTAGAAGTGTTCGGGCACAGGCACAGCGCGAGATGCAGCTTCGGCTGCGGCGAGAGTTGCGGCATCTGCAGGAGCGCAGCCATCGGCAGTGCGGGCTCTCAGGCGGACTCCCAAGGACAGCAAGACAGCAGGGATTCTCCACGCTTTTCCTAATGGAAATGATTTGAAGGTATTTGAAGTGTGTTGGGATGGAACCAATGCGTTCTTTGCCATTCTTTCGCTGCCCAGCCACGTTCAAAGGAGACCTATTTTTCCCCCACATCTTTGTGTGTTTATTTTTGTTGTGCGCTTCCGGCCGTCGTCCGCCGCCTTCCGTCGCAACTCTCTCCCAGACAATCACACACACACACAACTCTCTCACACACAACCCACCCACACGCACACAACTCTCTCAAACACACAACTTACCCACAGACGACCCACTCTCACACACAACTCCCTCACCCGCAACTCCCTCACAGACCACACACTAGACAAAATTGGATCTTTGAAGTGATCCATCAGGAACTGAGTCTTTTCATATGCAAATTAGACGGGAAACACAGTAACCTAAGTAGTATCATTCGAATAATGGAAGGTACTCCGAAATGGCCATCATGACTAGAAACGCGAAACGCCATCAAATAAGTTCCAAAACACGAAGAATAGTCCCTATAGGGTTCTCGGCTTAGCCCTTCGCCATGACTGTAAAAATACCATGCAAATAACGTTAAAAAGGAAGTCGATGAAAATCTCAGGTTGCGACAACCGTGTAAAAAAACCAATGGTATTGGTTGGGGTTCTCGGCTTAGCCCCTCGCCGCACGAAAATATACTGCAGGTACACAGAGTTGATCAGACTCTGCTTCCAGCACAAGTGCATAGCTTTGTTGGGTGCAGTTTCCACTGTGCTCTGCACCCCCCTGCAAGAAGGAGAGATGAAAGAAAAAGGTGAGGTTTTACATCTATACAGATGTTACACGCACACACACCCGGCCGGAGCCGGGTCAACCCTGAAAGGCAAGAGGAAGAAAAAAGCGGACACAACGACGGGCAGAAGGCCAAAACAGCGCAGGGGGGGAAGGGAACAAACGGACCTCCAGAACCAACCTGCACGGCGAGACGGACCTAACCAGCACAGGGCACACACACCTAAACCCCACGACACATTACAGAGGGGCACGGGGGAAGAATTAGGGACGGAATGGGGATTAGTTGATGTTCCAACGAATTAGATGCACAAAAAGGCTTACCTCACCAGAAACCAAAGTGACTACACCTGCAGGAAAAGGACATGCCTGTTCCCTGTTTTGCCATGCTGAAATGCGAAAAGCTTGAGCCGCGGAAAAAGGAAGTTTGTGGTTGTTCGGCACGGCAGTAAACGCGAAGGGATGAAGGTTCCAAGGGTTCACGAAGGACAGCGGGAGCCGCAGGACTGCACAAAATGGTGAGAAACAGAAGGCCAACTGTTGCACTTTACGCAAACAAATTACCAGCTTAAAAATGTCAATTCAGTAATCCGATCAGTCCACATTCACCCACAAAGGGGTTGCCTCCAATGGCCCTATGGCACCCTGTCGGAGCCACCATAGGAATCACGCTAGACAAAATTGGATCTTTGAAGTGATCCATCAGGAACTGAGTCCTTTCATATGCAAATTAGACGGGAAAGACAGTAACCTAAGTAGTATCATTCGAATAATGGAAGGTACTCCGAAATGGCCATCATGACTAGAAACGCGAAACGCCATCAAATAAGTTCCAAAACACGAAGAATAGTCCCTATAGGGTTCTCGGCTTAGCCCTTCGCCATGACTGTAAAAATACCATGCAAATAACGTTAAAAAGGAAGTCGATGAAAATCTCAGGTTGCGACAACCGTGTAAAAAAACCAATGGTATTGGTTGGGGTTCTCGGCTTAGCCCCTCGCCGCACGAAAATATACTGCAGGTACACAGAGTTGATCAGACTCTGCTTCCAGCACAAGTGCATAGCTTCGTTGGGTGCAGTTTCCACTGTGCTCTGCACCCCCCTGCAAGAAGGAGAGATGAAAGAAAAAGGTGAAGTTTTACATCTATACAGATGTTACCCACACACACACAACTTCCTCACACACAACCCTTATGGCACTGGGCGCGCGCTTGGTTCACGGTGCCGCGGCTGTTTGTGTGGCAGGTGTTGGCGACATCGGCCTTCACTTCGTGTGGCAGGCGTGGCACTTCTGCACTGCCTCTGCTGGCGTGCTTGGTTCCCGCTGGCGCCGCGGCTGTTTGTGTGTGTGAGGCGTGGCGTTTGGAAGCGCCGCGGCGGTCTGTGTGGCGGGCGTCATCGACCTCCATTCTGTGTGGCAAGCATGGCATTTGGTGACATCGACCTTCATTCTGTGTGGCAGGCGTGGTGCATATTTCACTGGGCTGGCTCTAGTGGCGCGCCTGGTTTCCGTTGGGGCCGCGTCTGTTTGTGTGGCAGTCGTGGTGTTTGGAAGCATCGACGTCCATTCGGTGTGGCAGGCGTGGTGCTTGGCGACATCGACCTTCAGTTCGTGCGGCAGGCGTGGCACTTATGCACTGGGCTGCCTCTGGTGGCATGCTTGGTTCCCGTTGGCGCCGT